CAATGTTGTCTGAGGCTGGGCATCTTTGACCACCTGCTTTGCCCCATTCACGAAGAAGACTAGGTGATCCCTACATGTCCCCTTCTGGCTGTCATCGGCTCCATAATCATTCTCCGTCGGCATGGTCGGGCGGAAAGCGCTACTACAGTAATTCGTGTGTACACAGCAGAGGGAAGAGAGTGCTGAAATCTTCTCGCATTAAAAGTCGAAGGCAATAAAGCACGACAGGAGGGGTGGGTAGGGGCGGGTCGGCGGGCCTTGGGGAGAGCAAACGGCACAAATGATGCTGTGAGCACTGATTGAAGTGAAAAAAAAAAAATGTGTTCGGTCCAGAACAGCCAGGTACGTACTACTGCTGTAAATCTTGCATCATGCCCATACACTTACTATACAGCTGTAGTCACCTAGGCTCCGCTATGTGCAACCCGCGTGAGAACCCTTGGTCTATCTTGTTTGGCTGAGTGAGAGGTGGTACTGCTGTAGGCTGTGTGATAGTTGCTTACACATCTCCCAACCCGCGTGCCCCCTAGGTCGTAAAACTGCTGCGGCTGCCATCGCGCATTGTCGCGTGGTACTTGAAACATTATTTGCTGACCTGTCCTTTTAGGGATCAAAAGTGTCCCACGTGCTTTGAGAACCTTTTTGGGACACCTACTGTACTTTTTTACTGAAGACAAGTCACCCTTTGTCTGGCAAGGAGCTCAGATTCTTCAGAGGGACTGTAGTCTCTCGACCAATGGCTGACAATCTTGGCAATTGTTTTGCAAGGGAAAAAAAAAATGCGGAGGGTGAAAGTTGCCTTCTATAATAGTGCCCCACGCCAGCGTTGTTGTTTCAGCGAAATCATCGTTTCATTTTTCTGCTTTTAATGAACTCAACGCAACCACGGCCAAACACATCCGGGAGTGTAACACAAAAAACCCTACGGAAAACGGGCATCATCGCGACGAGTGAACATCATTCCCTCGTCTTGTCTTCATTTTCTCCACGGGGTTGATAAAGCACGCCTCCCCACATTTTTTGTGTTCCGCTGTGCGCGAAAAAATTCCCCAGAAAGGGAGCCTTGCCTTATCGCAGGTCCCCGAGCTCCGTGCTGGACGCACTACCAACACCAGCTGCCGATACTTGAACCCAGCGCGTCACTCCTCTGCACCGACGGCAGTCGATAGTTCCGGATCTCCAGCGCTCGCGGGAAAGCACGTAGACTACAGCAGTAGACCATGTTGTACATGCATACATGACTACGGTCCACCACCTCGATCGCCTGCAGCGTCTAGAGGGTCAACTGCTAGAACAGCCAAGCGAGGGCACCTTGATCGCAACGATTGGACGCAGGGTGCCCTCGGCATCGCAATTCAGGTGAAGACTCTGCCTCTTGCGAACATTCACCTGGAATCTTGACCTCTTCACGGTTTGACACCAAGAATGTCCCAACCGCGAGAAAAAAAAATATCACAGTCCGCTGCTTGTGTGTTGTGAGCGACGCTGTTGAATACCAAAAGTGAGGCGATCGAGATTGTAGCACATCCATATGGTCAGTTTGAAAAATATATCACACGGGTGACACAAGATAGCACACCTCTTCCGGCAACATACACCCGGTGATACGTTTGAACTCCACAATCGTATCACCGGGGCGTGTTATCTTGTGCTTTTCCGAATATGCAAATGGGGTTTTTAGCACGACGCTCAACGCTTGCAGAAGAAATATGATGGTTGACCTCCTCAGCCACTGCTAGCTGTACGACTGAAGTAACAACTCTATTATTCCCACAGGGTTTCATCGCGTGCAACTGTTCCGTTGTTGTGGGGCTTCAAGGGTTTGCGTGCAACTAAGAAGACGGCCGCAAAACGTAATCTGCGATCATGTGATAGTTTGCGGACGGGCCTTGATTTAATGTACATTATCGTCTTAGCCGGTCGCCCCGGTGGTCTAGACTACTTGGTATCCTCGAAACCTTCTAGAGGTCAGGTCAGGGGTTCGAATCCCGGCGTAAGCGAAACTTGCTTGTAAAGTAAGATTTTCTCTCGCTTACGCTTCTGGCCTAGTGGATAGCGCTAGTTCGTGTGTACACAGAGGGAAGAGAGTGCTGAACTCTTCTCGCATTAAAAATCGAAGGCAAAGTACCGCAGGAGGGGAAGGTAGAGAGGGGCTCTTCTGTGTGACCACGGGTTGGAGTAAACGGCACTAGTGCTGTGAGCGCTGATTTGAAGTGAAGACAAAAAAAAAAAAAAAACGTCTTTGCAGCAGAATACTCGTCAATGCTTGCGGTGGATATCAAGGATCGTCACGGCTGCCTAGGGATGCCATTAGGTGAGGCACCAGCTGAAATATTCAAATGTATGTCCGTTTCCTTCACAACCCTCAAAGTGACTTTCGGCGTTGAGCTACATGGCCCTCCATGTACTTGTTGTTCCTCGACGTGTGGAAACCCTGTCCTGAGTACGGGAGCAGCAGTCACATAGTCCCACTGAAAGCGCGCCCCCCCCCTGCTCTTGCGGTATGCCGAATGTTATCGCAGCGATCCACGCTACTATGGTCAAGCCGCAATTCGGAGGATGCTGACGGGCGAGATGATCACAAGAACGGCGCCAGAATGTACGTCGGCGTCCAGAATGTATGGAAGGACACGAAGAGTAATGCGGGCGTCTTTGCTGCTATTTGTACCAGATAGTCGCGGTTGCAGTATTTTTTTTATGGAAAAAGTAGTAAGGTGCAAGCGATAGGTGCCTCAGAACTGTTTTTGGCGAAGGACGCCGGTTCAAGAATACGTTTGTTTGGGACAAATCGTTTTGGTGATGAGATATCTGGGTGCTTTACGGAGTGCAGATGCAATTGGTCTCGTTCTGGTGCGCGCCTGGGTTGCTGGTTTTCGCGCCTTAGGGAAATGGTGGGCGCCCCAATGCCTTCGCACTGACACGCCTTCGGGGGGTCAGACGCTAGTGGATACTAAAACCGTACCATGCCTCACGTGGGTTCCCTATCCCAGTGTACGTGGTATCTTGCTTCACCCCCACTTTTCGGAAACAATCGGCACGGGTACGGGCGATTGTGCTGGGCTCAGCAACGTAGATACCCAGAAAATGACCGTTGAATAAGTTCTCACCAAGCCCTTTTCAACTTGTTCCAGTTACGCGTGACGCAGAACCGGACAATCAGGATTTCATGCTGGTGCCTTGGTTGTAGGCCTAGAATCGGCCGTGGCAAATGCAGGGTGCAACCTGTTGCCTGCCAGGGTCCCCTTGTCACACGCGCTTTCACGCGATGCCGTTTCTGTCCATATTGGCTGCCGCGGGTTGTGCCGAACGTACCGAATGTGAGCGTGGAATATTGTAGAATACTGATGAACAAGTCCGCCATTCCGGATATCCATGAATGCTTTCGCAAATTCCACGGAGAAACACTCCTCATGGGTGCACATTGATGATAAAGGCCAGAGATGCTACATGGGAAGATCTCCCGATAGCGAGCCTAACGACGTGGACACCTACGTCTGCTTCCTCGATGCTCATCGAGCTTCTTTTCCCTCCCGCACACTACACCACTGTTCAAGACCTGGTGTCTCATGACGGCGCTCACTCGAGGACCACCACAACAGAACGTGGACGAATCACGAAGAGCCGGCACTACGACCGCCTCGGAGCATACGTGGCCTTGTCACGATCGTAGCCATACGTACTCCGCAGGTGTGGACACTGTTGTTCCGGATTCATTTTGTGCTCTTGTTTCGCTGTGCGCATTTGTTTTTCTGTCTCTTGGTTTTCGTTTCTGTGCTGGCGTTCGTCCATTTTCCTGGTCGTGCTTTACACATCGGCTGAGACATAACGCGCCAGCACCACGCGTGGCGCTATTGGGCAGTTCTGTCACGACTATTCCCTTCATTTTGCTTGCTGGTCGTAAAAGGCTGTTCTCATCATTTCGATGTTTCTGTTCATCGGGGCACCGTGGATGGTTCATGGGTTGGTTGTTGGTCTCCCGTGCCGGTGCTCTGTTCAACATCCGCTATTACAGGCGATGGCCGACCTACCCCTGGCTCTTTCATTGCGTTCAAATTGTCCTTGCGCGAAACTCGGTGCTACCGTGTCACCGCCGAGCGGACTGGTTTTGGAGTGCCGTGTGTTCGATGTTGTCGGTTTTGCCCCAAATCACTCAGCAAGGACGTACCCTGCGGTGCTTGACTTAGTTCTTATCGCGATAAGGGCTCAGCCACCCCTTTCCTTTGTCGACCGTGAAGCCCAAGTTGTTTTACTCGCGACCTATGTAGATCGCTTTCAACGGGAGGTTGCTGGAAATACATCCCGGCAAAAAAAGCTCCGGAGAGCGAATCGAACCCATAACCTGCCGCTAGGTTTGCGTTGTCAGGCGGGGCCGGGGGAGTACATGTAGTGAGCCCTCTCAATCTTCGATCCTAGTTTCGAGCCGCAACATGGCTCCTCGTCGTGGGTGTTAGAGGAACGTTTCGAAATCTTGATTTCCTGGATTTGAGTATCTCCCGTGGACGGGCGTGGCTTTTCCACGGCACACAAAACAGCAGTGAACGACAGGTTTCATTACAATCAAGAATATGTGTGATGGTTGATGGTGATGTTGGCTCGGTATGTTGTGGCTTGTGTCAACTTTGCTTGTGTGCGTGCGGGAAAACAGCAGCAGGCGGAAGCAATGCTGCTGACACAACAGGCTCCACTCTCGTCGTGCAGAGGTGGAGCAACTGGTGATTAAACCCGTGTATGTGAAGACCTTTGATGATGTTTTAACTTGTTTTACTATTTATCGTGAGCCTTGCTCGGACTACAACGCACTTGTTGAGGTTGTTTGGAAAGGGGGGAAAGTTGGGGGTTAACTCGGTAGGCGAGCGCGTCCTAATCCTGTCCAAAATATATCCGTCGGTACCTACCGACAGACACACACCCAAAGAACTCAACGATCGGTCCGGCAACGTTCCGGAACCCGAATACCGTTCTTACGTAACTCAAATACCGTTCTTAGTAACCACGATCATAACGGTCCTGGAGTCGTTTCATGAACCGTTCTACCTAAAAGACAATAGGCTGTTCCTGGGAATGTTCCGGAGAACCGGTCCATGAACTCAAAACTTTCTTACAATATTCCTCCTGTGATTGTTGACTTGAGCGGATAAAACTTTCCGCATACGAAATACGAACAAACACACAGTACCAAACCATTCATCATTGCATACAGCAACGGAAAGCAGCAACTAGTATCCATAGCATACTGCGCTATATTTTAACAAGGCTTGCCCAATGTTCATACCATGTAGCCGACATTTTCAACACCTAAACAACTCAACGTGAACACGAGTCCCCATTCGATGTCTGAAGCATCACCGTCAGCTCATATGTAGTGAATCAAGCCTCTCCGTACAGAGTGAAATAGGCAGAGGAGCAGCATCCTGAGGAAAGAGAAAGCAACACCTTTTACCACGAGCCCTTCGCCTGGTAGTCACTAATGTGGGCAGGACCTTCGCCGTCTTCTGCGGCAGCGGAGCGCTCCATGATGCCATCGAGGCAAGCCGTGCGGATCCTAACAAAGGAAGACGATCGCAAGGAGGCGAGGTATTGTATGTAGTGGAAAACAGCAATATTGCTAACCCAGCGTAAGAAACCTGGAAAATTCCCCACTCACAAGAAAGACAATCACGTGCAACTGAAACAGTTGTAACGGAGACACAATCGAAATACTGCGTACGCTATCGACAGGCCCACATCGTGGTCATGTGCTGGGCTGCAAGAGACAGCAGAGCAGCATGCTTACCTTCGCGGTAGGACTTTGACTGCAAACTTACACATCAGGGCGACGAACCAAGACCAAAACGTCAAAAAATGCAATGGCCAATCAACACAAAACACCTTTACACCATTCCACCAAACAATCTAATGGGTCCCACCGACCTTTCAGAAGAGGCTGGGCTGTTGAGTCGGAAAAAGGATGCTTTGCCTTTGTTGTGGTCCTTTCTCGCTGACGCCACAGCATCCTTGATGGCCAAGAACGCCGAGGATGCGAGGAAGAACGGGGGCTCCCCCACAGCCTAAGGGCAAAGAGATGGAAAAGCCTGAACGTTGTGGATTTGTGTCACCATACTGCTGTTGTGGTCCCCTCATGGGCTTTTCATCCTCTACGCTCGACGAGGAAACCACACTTTACACGAAGCCTGCAAATATTTAGTATCAGAAGCTACACTACGGGGCCGGTCATCATGTTCAAGCGGACCACGGTGTCTTCTATGTATAAATCATCATGAGGTGAGGCGAACGCCTCACTACATGCCTTCTCGTCGACATGTGAAGGCCCCGATTCATCATGACTGCCTCGGAAGGGCGCAACACGAAGAGATTGACCAAGTCTTGCCGCCAATGGCCGGAGTGAAAATCTCGAACACACTACTCGTGACATCATTTGCGGGAATCGTGCAAGAGGAAAGGCTTCGGCCACCGCACGAAGCACGCTCAACCAAGACCAAAGATGAAGCTCCTATGGCTTCGTGCTCTGTTGTGTCGCGCTTATGACAAACAACCTAAACATTACCGAGTGTACAGCAGTGCCTTAATCACCTTCGAGGAGTGGACTGCGAAGGCGTTCGCCCTGTCCATGAGCTTGACCCTCATGTCCGAGGGCACATCGTTGAAAGACGGGATTTTGTACGTGCCAGGGCCCTTGGTGAAGAGCTGCCCGGGTTTTACCCAGAGATGCTCCGAGTCTCCCCAGCTTGTTTCTTCCATCGTACACCAGCCATAGCCCTGAAAAGCATTGGGAACACGTTTGAACAAGAGCGCGATGTGCGCTCGGATATGACCGATATACGAACGAACACCTGGAGGGTAGTGAAAAACATCTGATCGAGAGCCGCCCCTACTCCCCAAGTCCACAGAAGAGAGGAAAACACAAGACTGGGGCGAGCTTGGCACTTGACAGAAACCAAATACTGCTGTGCATTGCTCGCAACGGCGTTCGTCGTATGATTTCCCAATTTCGAAACAAAAACGCCATTCATTTTCATTGAAGAAGGCTGTCTCATCTACCCGACCATCCCCCTAATGTAGCGTGCCATGCGATGAAGTGCGTGAAGAGTTTGAAAATCGAGTTGGATAGAGCCAATTGCGAATCTTGATGTTCGAAAACATTGCTGTAGATCAAGGCGCAACGAGATCGAACATGCAACGAACGCCAACCTGAATGAAAGCTCCCTCGATCTGACCGATGTCGATAGCCGGGTTGACGCTAGTCCCGATGTCCATGAGGATGTCAGCCCTGATCACTTTGGCGTCTCCGGTGAGACAGTCAATCTCCACCTCGCTGGCCGCAACACCCTTATCAGCGACGGAAGCAGCAGTGGAGGTAGCATCGTCAGTTGCTGAGAAAGTTGCACAGAGGAACATGTTCTAACCTACATATTTCACCCTGTGAACAGCAATAGCAAGACGTAATCGGCCGGAAGGGACGGGCACACTTGTTTCGCTACCGGTACATTCGCCACGAGTTCCCTACAACGATTTGTCAAGAATATGTTCCCTCTGATTCCCGTGGTTAGGCGCACGCGAAACTCGCCGCGATCAGCGCGCGTGTCACCAACATTCGCAAGCCTTATGGCAGAAGAAAGAGTATGGAGGCCATTGTGCCAAGTGGCCAGAGATGCGTAGATGTCGGAGACACGCTCGATTCATTCGGCAGTGGTTTATAGAAAACATCAATGAGAAACCGTAGAGGCATGTCGTGGCGTTGCCGTCCGTTCCCCCACCTGAGTGAAGTAGTTGAAAGGGAGCCCTCTGTCCCTGTTGTTGGTGGTCTCCATGTCGAAATCGTACCCACATCGCGCGGCGGGAACAGTGTAGAACCCTTGGGCCGAAAGTTGGATCCGCCGGAAATACGCCGCCTGGTGGTTAAAGTGCGGATAAGTTGAAAGCCAACCAAACGGTGATCCACCTCAGCCATCAGCACTCTTCACCACTGCCGGCTCACAGACGTCCCGCATTGGAACAAGGCTGGTTTGGTCGAAAAGTCGACCGTAAACGAAGGCAAAACACCCTTGAATACAACGGAAGGAAAACCGAAGAAGGCACAGCGGTGGCAGCGACCACACAAGCAACGAAGGCCACATCGACGATGGTCCTATATGTATGATACCACCACGGTTCGCCGCTTTATGGTCTGCTTGAACCTTCTGGATTCGTATGTACGAAATCGGAATTTTCTGGACTTTGTGAACAAAATCAAGCATCCACGGACTGTTTTGAAAAAAGGAATAAAACTGTTGGCATTTCTCATGCAGGGAAAATCACACGCATGACGTCGGTCATACCCAACCTGATCCTGTCGCTTGAAGCATGGAGAGATCGTACAGCAGAAACAGCCGGGCAGCGTTGGATTATTCGCGATTGGCTCGAGTTCAGCAACCAATACTTCGTGATGCTTGCCTTGACGATGGTTGCGAAGGGAGAGTTTTCCGGTAGTTCTGCCATGACGGGCCTGAGCCTTTCCGTGATCTGCTCGCACGCGTCGAGGGCGGCCATGCCGTACAGATCCGTCGACATGGATGCCGCGGTAGGGGACGTGTTGGCAACTCTGTCGGTTGCCGTTTCTGATATGTGTACCTGTCACCGCGGTGACACACAGAGAGCGGGCAGATGTGTATCCAGCCGAGTTGGTGGACATGTACGGAGGGAAATTGCTGGCATACTAATGGGCACCAATGAATGATCAACTTGCGGAGATTGATGGATCAGAGGGTATGAGTCGGCCGTGGTCACTCGTTTCTCGGAGTTCTGATGCCGTGCGCCCCTAGCTTGTGCAACCAGGCACAACTCAGCGTGAACCAGCTGAACACTCACAAAGTTACGGAGGATACGAGGGCGTAAGACTGTCACAAAAGACTTGCTTGTGGTTAGTGGGAATATACCTTCTCCACGTCGATGTTGAACTCGTTGGCCACGACTTGGCAGACCTTCGTGTGGAGTCCTTGTCCCATCTCCGTCCCACCGTGACTAACCAGCACCGTCCCGTCTAAGTACACGTGCACGAGCGCTCCGCCCTGGTTCATAAAACCCGCCGTAAAGCTTTTTGACGCATTCACACGCATGACGTAGCGGGGGGGGGTAAGGGTGCAGGTGATACACGGGCGGGGACCGAAGAACTAGATCTGTATGGAAAAATATGAACAAAAATGACCCGACTCTTTCTTTGGATGAGCTTGAACAAGCGTTAAAGGAATGAGACGAAAAGCTTGGGGTTGCGACAAATACAATAGCATCGTGGGGTGGGGTAGAAGGAGAGGACCGCCGGGTTGTTCGAATGATACACACATCAAACCACTGGAGGAAACGCTGCCGAAAAGGAGAGAGACCATGCCGTGCTGCACCTGGCCCGCCGAGGTGTATTTCACGAGCAAACAGACGAAACAGGCGTGGGTAGCAACAGCTACCCGGGGCTTCTACCAGTCCGTCTATCTACACAATAGTCGTGGCCGAGTTCACACGGAAATGATGAGCTCCACCCGTGAGCCCAGTCAAAGTCCCTCCCTTGAAGGCCATCCTACTTTCGGGCTTTTTGTTGCAAGCAAATAGGTGCCGGGGCGAAGTTCACAACCAAGACCATGGGCACGAACGCGTTGCAAGAACGTACCAGATCCCGAACTTTGTCGGAACAACGGCGAGCCCTCTCTTCCTGTACCGGCTGGAGGAGTTGAACGCGTCCACCTGACACGCCGACACGAGAGAAAGATCGGCCCAATCAAGTAAGCAACTCTGAAATTGCAGACGGGGTGTTGGGAGACTATGCGTTTGGCGCACACACCCCGACAGCAATACGTTGCTGCCGAGACCCGCCTAGTTTTCCCTCCGTGTTACCCCGTCCTTCCGCGGAGCTAAGTCATCACACAACAATGGTACAATCGTTATTAGTGAATACGCCTCTCCCATGGCTGGAACTCGAGCACAGAAGAGGCGGCTCCACGAAGACACAAACACGCAGCGGGCAAGTCATCTGGTGGCACTCAAAACGGCGAACACTGGCTGCTCTCGTTGAAGACTGGACGGCATATCGAAAACACAAGACTTGCCAGAACTTTCGCGTGGCGGGTTCTGCTGCACTCTCTTGAGAGCAGAAAAAAGAACCGCATAAAACAAAATGCATCACATCACCTCCTTCCGGCGGCGCTCGATGTCGGCCCACTGTTGCACGTCTTTCCAAGCGGCGGGAACGTTCCAGGCCTCCAGGGGCTGCCCGAAGTGCGTTGGCTCTTCCGGCTACAGCCATCGGGGAAATGAAATGCGAGGATTGTGGGAGGGAAGAAAGGCTATGAACCTCGGCAAGTTAGAATGTTTGGGATGGGTGGACCTGTGAGCTAGAAAATGGCATGGGGCGGGCGAGTGTCGCCGAGTTGCGTCCTCGTCCGTTACACGGTGGGCGGGTCCACATGGAAAGCTAGGTTATGTCATTGTACCAGCCTCTGTATCAGCCGATTATGCATATTTCGTGCCACACTAAGGTGTACAACTCTCCCCGCACAGCTTTTCCTATTCTCCTCCTTCATGCAGTCCTCGAATGTGGCTATGACCCCTAGGCGCTGCCGTTTCCCCCGTCTTCATGCACGCGAGGGTCCACCGCACGAAGTAGGGGACTGAGGACACGTACGATGTTGGGATGTAAAGCTCGAGGCTCTAACCTGTTGGGATGTAACCTTGTGATAGGTTTATCCCTGGACGTGGCACTGTGTGCAGTGGCTCACAGAGTGACTGTAAAGTACACTTGTGTTGTAGACCAGATTGATGGTTTGAATTGGCGCTTATGTGGCCGAAAGGTAAGGAAGAGAAGAGGAGTCCTGGGACTCGCAAGAGTCCCGAAGGACTTGGAAGAGGCCAAGGGCCTTGGAAGAAGAGAGAAAGGAAAGAGAGTGATCGAGAGGGGGCGAGCACCACAGGGGGCGAGCCTCCAAGCTATCACGGAAAGATGCACACATACGGACTACTGCAACGTACCGGTCACGGTAACAGTCGGTTAATCCGGCCTATAGAACCAATCCAAGAATATCCTACTGGACAATGGTCCGATGTACCCTACTCCTATGGTTCAACATATAACCCGTAGGTGTGTATAATCTACCGAAGACTATTCCGGTAATACTCCTCAGGTGCATACCTACGTGCTGTGAATACAGCAGTACCAAAACGTATGACTGACATTGAGTATTCCAACATACGATACAAGAGCAATCCCTCCCCCCGAACTTACGCCTCAGTCTCCTCGAATTCTGCATCATGATTCTTACCCGTCGGTCATCCCAAAGTCGGCACGGCGTATCTCGTGGCATTGGCGTCAGAAAGGTGAATGTCCACTGACCTTGTACAAGTTGAGCGTGCGCAATACAAACGAGTCCATTTCCAAGGAAGAGGCCAGGTGGTCCATCACCGTCTCGGTGACAAGCATGCCCTGCACACAAAGTCAGGCATACAAAATCAGGCGGAAAAGAAAAGAAAACATAGGAACGAAAGGAAGACCTGCGTAGTGGGTTCATTAGAGGAAAGTGTCATAAAGGGGTGATGCGAGGCGACAACGAAACCTTAAAGGTTGACTGCCAGCGGTGACGTTTTCCAAGCTCGTATCGCCCGCCAGGCCGACGTCGTGAGTCGAAGAGCCCAGTTCACCACCACCGAGCCAAAGACACGAATTTGCAATGATGCCTACGGTCTTTGTTCTTCCTCGAAGGGTGCGCAAGGGTTAATGAGTCACGAAAAGATCCACAGTTTGGGCAGACCACGCCGATTTTTCCGCGGAGGTATTGCACATTAAGAACCACAAAAGTGTGCCAGAAATCTGTGCCTGTCCACTCTCCAACCCCGATTGTCCCGCATTGGGTGACAACGTTTGCGAGCGGCCATGGTCGCTACCCAGGGGCAAACCAATGTCGAGTAAAACACCAAAGAGCGTATTCTGCGGGCGGACGTCATGGCACCACAGCATGCACAAAAGGTCATCTCCCACACAATCCCCGAAAACAAAAAAATGTCCGTGTTGCCAGACCTGAAACTCCTTGTCGGCCGACGGAATGCAGCGCTACGATCTGAAACCCAGCGCAGCGACCTGTGAACCTCGGTATGGAACTGCTGCTGTAGAAGACCGCGGGGGGAAACCCTACTTGAGGTTCTGTTTCCGAAGCCTTGGAAAGCATTGTACGGCAAGATACTCCTGAATCTTCACAAACCACCGCCGCCGAAAAGTACCCAAAGCATGGCGGTAAGCCACCTGGAAAGTCCGCGCGCGGCGGGGCTACCTACCTGCGGTCCTCCGAAGCCCCGGAAGGCCGTGTGAGAGGCCTGGTTTGTCTTGCAGACCAACCCCTTCGCGCGAAGAGCCGGCCAGCTGATCATTCACAGAGCGGAAAAACGAAAAAACACACCAAGAGTAAATCCGTGGATCTGAGGGAGGCTACCTGACGCGATCAGAATTAGTAATTATCGAAACATGTGCCAATAAAGTGGGTGTCACTGATTTCCACAACTACTGTACAACACCGCGATAACAAACGGCAAGAACGACAGCGGCAAGACAATAACAGCGCGAGCATCGCCAGCTTTACCTGTAGCAGTTGTCGATATGGAAGAGCGCCCTGTCCATGACAGAAGCGGACAGATCCAGGCTGCAGCCAGCGTTGTTGTACAGCGTTACGTCCATGCCGACTAGTTTGCCATCCCTGAGCCGCCAAGGCAATGAGAAACACGACATACGTACGACGCACCCAGGAATCATGTGTTGCGTTGCGGCCCAACAGGAGGGGCAAAAACACGGAATACGCGAAACATTTTCCCTAACCTCAATTGCGAGTAATCATCAGACATCGAATGTGCCAGGCCGTTTGGCTGGAGGTACATCGCATCAAAAGCAACCAAAACCAAACCAAAATAATCGGGTGACACAAGATCGTTCGACACGCCCTGACCTTTCTGCCTCTGCCGAAGAGGATGCTAGACATGGTCGAAAACCCATATCGTAATCGAAAATTTACAACAAGCAAATTTTCGAAAGTCTCTTAGAACCTCACTTTGTAGCGCCGGCCTTGTATTTGGCGAGGTAGGCGTGTCGGTGTCCGGTGATCTGCATGTCCACGTCCCTGTCAAGACAGATCCTCACGGGCCTGCGAGTACCATGTACGCGTGACATGCCATCCCAAGCAGCAAAACAAGGGGCGACGTCAACTCATTTCATATGACCACACTATATCTCCCCGGATTGTCTATGAACAAGAGGTTAATCTTTCTGACAACAGTCCTACGGCGGGACCCGAGAATCTCGAGACATCGTTGCTGTTGCTATTCCGGTTGGTCTCAGCAGCTAACAGTTGTGTTGGTTGTGTCAAGTGCCTCCTCTTCCACCTTCTTCAAACTCAAAGATTTCCATGGTCATGAGCGATACCGGAAATAAGGTACAAGAAGCATGCAAAGATAGAAAATGTTCAACAAGTCGTGGGAGAGTGAGCAACAAAGACAGATACGCATGTGAAAAGTCAAGCATGACAGAAACCACGGGACCCCGAGTGACAAAATGTATATTCGGTGCCTTCATCGCGGTTATTGGCGATTTCCAATGGGCCGCCGACACCTGATGGGGTTGGCATGGGCCGGAACCTCCAAAGACTCTTCCGGGACAACGCAGGACCAAAATGCGGCACACAAGCAAGAACGGTAGCGCCAAGAGGTTACGATATTGCGGGGTCCACATTTTTCGGGCACAGGAAACAAGCTCGATGGTACTGGTACAAGCTAACCCTACGTAGCATGGGTCGTGTCCACAGGAATCGTTAAGTCTCAAGAACACTCGAGAAAACCAAAGATAGAACAGAGGTCAAATTGACCTCCCACAAACAATGCGAGCGCACCAACAAGCCCGTCAGGTTTGGTAGAGAAGTGCATTGGGTCTCCACCAAACGGAGGTCAGAATACCATGTCACGCGCGTGATCCCATGGATATTTCTAGAGTTTTGGGGAAAGGAATCCCCAACCGCGTTAGTCACCTCGGTACCGTACGTACCGTTTTGTCAAGTGAGCACCGAGAGCAGCCACACACGACAGGAACACGGAACGAGTCTCCTTGCCGCCAAACCCTCCCCCCATTCTCTTGGTCCGGCAGACAACCTACGAGGTTCGAAAGCGGCGTTGTTCGTAGCGGTTAGGGTGAGGTTAACCGTTGCACGACGCCAACAAGGGCGACGGCTCGTGTCGTGCAGAACCATCTCACGACATCAACAAGGAGAACAACGCGAAGGGCCGATCTACCACACAACACCATCCGTAAGCAAAACAACGAGCATCCACGATACAACCACAACCAAAAACATGACAACAGACACAATTGCCCCATTCCCCTCATCCCCCAGAGGCCCGCGCCGTCGACGTCACCCACCTTGTTCTTGTCGATACCACACACTTTGGAGCAGAAATCCTGCGTCTTGGTGGGGTTCTGTGTGGACGCGAAGACTTCCAAAGACCCCGCCTCCCCGGGCACCGCCAAGGTGGCGTTCGTCTCCAGGTAGAAGTGCTCTTGCCCACCGATCTGAAAATATCGTGTGGGATGGAGGCATGGCAGCAAAAGCAGGTATGAAAAACACAAAAGTCTGCGTGAGGTAAAGACTTGAAACTTGCAGTTCGTGGGGTGCAGCGGTTGAATAACGCCAATTAATGCCCCGACTGGGTTTCCCCCTCCGGTGTTTGCCATCGGGGTTGGGTTTTCGTCGCTTGGTAACGACGTTGAAAAACAAGCCGCCGCCCCCCGGTGTTTGCCCCCCCCCCCCGGTGTTTGCCATCGGCGTTGGGTTTTCGTCGCTTGGCAACGATGTTGTGAAACAAGCCGCCCCCCTCCGGTGTTTGCCATCGGGATTGGGTTTTCGTCGCGAGGCAACGACGTTGTAAAACAAGCCAATTCACTTCGTGAACTCGGCAACCAGGTTACCGGGTTTCTTTTTACCTCTGTTTTTTTTTTTGCGGTAACCATAATGGTGGTCGAGTAGATTATGTTGTGCGGGGTCGAGAATCCTCACTCCGCGCAAGGGGGATGATCGCACCACGTTGTGCTAAAAATGGTAAAAGCATCATCGAGGCAGTTACACTGTGCTTATAACTGTCTGTGGAAGTGAAAGCACCAGAAAATAAATTAAGTCATACGCAGGTGTCATTCGTACGCAAGGAAGTAAGCACAAGATGCCGAACACCCTTAGCAGGATGCAGCGCACCCTTCATGCGACTCGCCGAATACCTCACGGCGCTTCGCGCTTGGTGATGTGAGAGTGTGGTCCGGTGAGAACCCGGCGTGCTCCGTCCCGGCTTCGTAGGGATGCGAGGTCAATGATCTAACGACTACGGCATGCACGACTATGAGTACCCCCCCCTCCCCCCCGACTGGGTTGCAGCTTGTAAAACGCAATCGGTGCATGCGTCACCGTCAACTGCGCCTGAGCATCGCCTCCTGGAGCCTGTCGTTCCAGGACCGGAAAAAGACGGTCCGTTTGCCGACGTTCGTTGTCCGTCGGTGAAGCAAACCCAAGCACCAAATTTCAATTTTCACCAAATGTGACAAAAGGACCGCTGCATACCCACTGTAAGGCCCGAACCCCGTATTCATCAAATGCGAAAGCACTCATCAAATGAAAATGACTCTAATCAACGACCCATTTTCACCGTTTTTCAGTCTGTACCCCGGCCTTATCGTATGAGACATCAGACTTGCCTCCTTCTTTCGTGGACAAGACTTACCCCAACGGCCACAACAGCTACTCCAAAAGCTTACCGCCATCTCGCCTTCGACAACAACATCGGCGTCCTTCAAGGCGCTGTCGACGTCACCGTCCACAATGGCGTGCCTATCGCCGTAGTAGCTGTACAAGCGGGGCAACCGTGCACAATAGAGGAACGTTGATGCCACGAACAGTCGTGGCACAATACAAGGGAGAAATGCAGCAAGAGGGAGGGGAACGAAACGCTACGGGAGAGCCACTAAACTGGTTGTCCATCGGAATGGCGCCTGGGTCCATCCCTTCGTATAGCCGGTCGCCCCGGTGGTCTAGTTGGTAGCCTCGTAACCTTCTAGAGGTCAGGTCAGGGGTTCGAATCCCGGCGTAAGAGAGCTTTTCTTGCAAAGTGAGTTTTTCTCTCGCTTCCGCTCCTGGCCTAGTGGATAGCGCTAGTTCGTGTGTACACGTACACAGAGGGAAAAGAGTGCTGAACTCTTCTCGCATTAAAAATTGAAGGCGAAGTACCGCAGGAGGGGAGGGTAGAGAGAGGCTCTTCTGTGTGACCACGGGTTGGAATAAACGGTACTAGTGCTGTGAGCGCTGATTTGAAGTGAAGAAAAAAAAAAAATTGAGTGGGACTAAACGCGAATACACCCACCACCACATAGCTGAAAGAGGAAAATACTGCCACTGTGGGGAACGATTACAGTAGTTTCACACCAACAGTCCAGCGTGCAGGTTCAATCGAGCATTGAAACCAAGAAAGTGCAAACCACACCCTGTACCGGAAACCGGACGGAGTACTTGCCTATCGGCGGCGATGGCATCCTCAATAGTCATTATGGACGGAAGCTCCTCGTACCGAACCATCACGAGTTTCGCCGCACTTTCCGCGATTGCAGCACTCTCCGCTAACACGGCTCCGATCACCTGCCCCAAGCAGTGAACCTGCCGACACAGGACAAACCGTGATTATCACACGTGAAACACAATTCGGACCAGCGTTTCAACTAGAGAACGGCGACGGACGCCCATTTGTCCTCACAGTCTGGAATTCATTCTGCAGACAAATCTCACTTGTGGCCACAAAATGGTCATGTATGGTTATGCCCCCACTTCGCGCCGATTAAAGAAAAGAAGCGGCGACAACGAACACAGAGAAAGGCACAGCAGCACCATGAAAAAACTGCTGGATGTTACGAACGCAAAAATGGAAAAACACCGAATGCAAAAAATAGGTACTCCAGTTGAAAACTTGTACGTTGTTGACACAAGCAAGGGCGACACTGAACACACAAAAAGGTGGTGCAGCAATACAAACCTCGTCAACAGCGAACACTTCTTCGTCCACCACCACGGCACCGATGCCGTTCCGCTCCGGGGTAACGTCCCCGGCACCCACGAACCGCAAAACGCCTTCCACCTCCAGGGCCGGGGAGGCGTCTACCTCCAGTAGCTTGGCGTGGGGTTTCGTGGAGAGAACCAGGCCGACGAAGAGGGTGCCCACGGGGGACGGCATGTCGTCCGTGTAGACAGCCTCTCCCGTCACCTGATTCATTGTTACACCGATGCGCACAAGTCCGGATGGTTCGTGCGGTGTAAGAGGACGCTTGTGTATTCTCGGCAAGACTTGAGCATCGCCATCTTTCCGCAGATACTGTACCAGCCTAGAGAGGAGAGCGGCCTGTGTAGTGCGTTCGCCCGCCCAACGTCCACTGCCATTTAAACCCTAATAGCGGGACAACCCAGCACAATGCCACCATCACCGTCGTCACTACTCAAAACAACAACGACAGACGTCACCTGAAGATCCGCTGATTTGTGTGGGACGGGGTCTCCAACACCCCCTTCCAGTGCGGCCTTCTTCGTTTTGGTGTTTTCGGTCCTGCCCGTGGCTTCTTCGTCGCGGACAACAGGTGTGTGAGGCTGTGGGCGTGCCTTCTGCATTCCTCCCGTCTGCATGAAATCGAATGTAGAAGGTGAATGAGGGCGGGCCTCGACTGTACAAACATGCATTTACGGCATCCTCTGTTAGTCGGCCGTGTTGTACACGACCACCAACGGATAACAAGTGGAGGACGCCGAAACTCGACGATCTTATGTTTCAATCTATCGTAGGGTTGGCTCAACTCTGGTTCATCGTATTTTGACTCTCCCCCAAGCGATCCTGAATTGCAGTCCTATATTTAATGTATGGAACAACAGGATGGATGAAAAACGCAAGAGCAGCACAGGTTTGTACCTCCAACTCCCCAAGGGAAAAATGGGATGTATGACGTCCCATGGCCTCATGGAACAAATTCAGCATATCACGTAGCTCGTGTTGTCGTCTGCGGAATAGTCCAACTCCAGAAGGACACGACTCCTACGAACGTCAACAGCGAATGAATTAGGTAGTCGACAAATCTACCGTACATGGCTCCGACGGTCATAGTCCTGGAAACTTAATATTGTCTCGGCGTGCTTCAACCAACCCCACTCTCCCTGCCCTGCAACGAGCGTGGATTCGCGCGTCAGACGTTGCCGCCTAGTGACGTCACCGAGAAACAAACCCCTAAGAAAGCGCCTTCTCCCCGAATGCCCAATATTGCTCGCTCTCGGGGTAATCTTGCCCTTTGCCTGCCGGTACAGAAACAAGTTAACCAGTGGTCCCAACCGATGACAGCATCGACCAACAACAACGACGAGGATGCCAAGCATGACAAGCGTGCAGCGTGCCACGTACCCGAGGTGTGTACTCCTGCTCTCCCCTGCTCGGGGGCTTTGGCGCGGTGACGAAGTTCGTTGCCGCAGACCTGAAGGGATGACACACGTCGTAAACGCAGAAACAAAGAAAAGATCCGGCCTGAGGCGTACTCAAAACATTTGAAGCCACATGGCGAAGACAAACCTGGATATGCATTGGTCAACCTTCCCGAACACGTAACGAATACCAGTAGTTCTAACCTATCGGCGTCTCCAATGACCGGCGGGGGGGGAAGCTGTCCGTCGGATTCCACCGATAATGCCTCAAGCCGAAGGGACACCTCGATGAAGAACTTGAACAGGAAGGACGGCGGTAAGGCCCGTCGGTACTCGCACTGTCCACCTTGAAGACCACATGTGAAACCGGAGTGGAGTGGGGGGCAAGCTTCGATGGTAAAGAGACCGCGTTGACAGACAGACCACTATGCGACAGAACAGCGACTCCAACACAGCCCCCATGACTACGAGAAACCACCCCCCACCCCCAAGAAAACACCGAGTAGATCCAGATTGGCATCGTGAGCATGCAGAAAGAATCACCCGTGCGTATCGTACAGTACCGGCCCGCTATAGTACTTAGCGACGTCAAATCCGGGTGGAGGTTATAGATCGGTTTCATTTTGTGCGACGATCATCGAGCATGGACTGCGATATAGAGTGTAGTGTAGGATTCACCGCGGGGCTGACTTTCTTTACCCCGAGTTCAGATTTTCGGGAACCAGAAGCCCGTTTCTTCCTTACATTTTTTTTTCTTCAAAAGAGTGGGCCGATTCTGGACGTATTGACCCATCGACACATTGGCGGAGTCCCTTGCCTTGCCCAGAAAACGTACCAGGTAAATTGGACACTAACGCACGGGCAGTCATCCCCCCGCCACAAAAGCCTTGGGATACGGGGAGCTCCTGATCGTAGACAAGAACACCAACCGACTAACGAAAATTTGCTGCCTTTCTGAGAGTATCGGTCGGAAATCGTCGCGAAACCTATCGTCTATTGTTTCTTGCAGAGTGCAAAACAGTTTGTGAAACCAACAACACGAGAGTAAACCCAACCCGCGACTGGATATGAGCACGTGAACCTGCTTTCATGCTCGTGTGACCACAGCGCTGAGCGAAAGGAAGTTGCCAGGCATCGGTGCCGCCCGCAGCGAAAAACAGAAACGTGTCAAGTACTACCTGGTACGCTGGAGGAAAGGGGCATGTCCTGCGCTAGCAGCTCGTACGCCCCACCCATGGTCTCCGCCGACCACTCCTTGCCCACAAGGTACACCTGGAGAATTACATTAGGATGCAACGGCAGCAACATATTCTCATGTAGCGTTTCTCCAACATGAACTCAATATTTCTTCCCTTAGACACAGTACCTGAAGCGCCATTCACTCCGAAGCACCTCACTTCTGGAATCGGCCGGTGTAATGTCTGAGGCACGCAATTTTCCCAAAGATTGATTTCTCGTCCAAATGTTTACCTTTTCAAGGTGCAGTTTTTGGCCGGTGGCTATGGAAGGCATTCACGTCCCTTGGGCGGATGTCATAAGGTGCCGAGCGGATGTTAGAAGGTGTCGAGAAAAAGTCGAAAATGTTTGTAAGTGGACACAACAGGCACAACCAACACCACCAACAACGGTTGCCAACCAAGGGAACAACAATGACCAGACGACAAAATCACCAAAAATAAATACCTCGGTGAGGGGGGCACCAACGGTCGTCGGTGCCATCCCCCCGAAGCACATGGACGCCTCCTTCACGACCCACTTGCCTCCTCGTGGCTCTAGGACCAGACGTATGCCGCCGGTAACGATGGAAATGTCGTCCTCTCGCCTACGAGCCTGTGGGAAAAGAGCAGGGCTTAAGCGAGTAAGCATTGTTGCTATTGTGTGTGTGCAACAGCGATAATTCTCTCTCCTGTTGCATGTGTGCAACGGTGAATATTCACTCTCAGTTTCACGCAACCAAGCGCTTACTCACTATCTCGAAACAAGATTGGGTGACTAAACTCGAGAACGGTAAATGTTGACAACGCAGAACACGCACATTCCAGGGAGCTCAATGCCTACGTCCAATTTACAAACAATAATACATCACTCGCATTATGGAATTGAGGGAATCCGCCTGGCAGTGCAGGTCTCCGCAGCCGACAAAATTTCACACAAGGACCCATTGTTTTCACTCTCGCTGCCTCCCTGCTGCACGGTACCCAGGTGCCTTGCTTATGGCTGAAACGCCAGGTTGCACTATCGTACCGTAAACAATACACCGCCTCATCCACTTTTGAAGCGCCGCGCGCGCAACTAGTATTCAAGTCGTTTTCACTCATTCGAACGCTACAGAACAATGATAGTTCCCACGCCTGGCCTGTCTACAACAAATCTTCGCTTGCGCCGACCGGCGGTCAGGCAACATGCGTCATCCCGAACCACGACTGCTCAATGAATTCACACTCGATGGCGACTGGAAAGGCAATCGAAACTACACATGCAGATCGAACTGTTCCATCACCAATTGGAGTCACTTCTTGGATCAGCCCTTGATCGAGAGCCTTGCTTCATGTTGTTGTTGTTGTTGTTGTTTTCTTCACATTAATCTCGTGTCAGTTGTTAATCCCAAAATCTAGCAAAGACTCGGCCCGTGGTCACAAAAATGCTAGAGCCATCAGAAGATCTAAAGAACACGCACACTATTAGCAAGAAAAGGGTACACAAGCCCGAGGAGGTACACCTACAATCCCTGCAGCACGTTCGCGTGCTCACAACTGAACTACACGCCCACACACTACAATTCGACTACAACAGCGGCATCACCCCCCTTGTCCCGCACTTCACCAAAATGAATGTTTGTCGACTACAGCGTACTGCTGTCTGAAGTGCTGTCTGTACAAAAATAACACCATGGTGTATGGTACACAACAAGCTCGTGGCATGCAGCTGCTGTCTGAAGTGCTGTCAGAATGGGTCCGTGGACATACAATGAAGAAGAACAATCAACCAAAGCCATCATTGCAATTGACAATCGCCCGAATCTATTCAGATCATCTGTGCTAGACACAGCAGTGTAAACATCGACACTGACTAGGAATCGTTCCACATTGAAGGGGTCTTCCACGATGCAGGTACACAATTAAGGCACCCGGGTTATCCGCGCCATCTCTGCCGCATCTCTCGACAAAACCAGTGACGTCATCACACATACCTAACACCTATATTCAGGAAAAAACGGAAAATATTTGACAACACAAGAGATGTTTGTCCGTGCGCCACGGTTCGATGCCGTCCGCATGCTCCGGTTCCGCTGCTGCTCCGGTGCCGCTGTTCCGGTGCCGCTTCTCCGGTGTCGCTGTGGCCAGTCCTAGCACGACCAAACTCGACCCGCTCCGCTTCGTACACGCTCTCGTTGCTGTCCGTCCCAGTCGGTTCCTCGCTTTCTCCCTCGTTGCACTTAGGGTTCTTGGTCTGAAAAATTCTCGCGCCCAAGGGTCAACCAGCCCAGTCAGCTCGTCACCACCTGTCTCCTCCTCATTTGATGGCAACATCAGGTTACTGAGACAGTACAGCTCCCTCTAGCAAACCTAGGGCCGTGTACATAGTGCCCGTCCACCTTTCTGATGGCGTCTGCCTCCGCGCACAAAGATGAGATGGGCATTGCTGCCTACACCGACGGCCTCGAGGCCCGCGCATCTGCACCTTTGCCGATCCAACTCCACCACTACGCACGCCTCGCGGCGGGTGCGCCGTAGCAAGAAGTTATCGGTTCCTTGAGGGTGAGTCTAGCCCTGCTCGCTAGAAAGACCCCCCCCCTCGCTTTGGGTCATGCCTAAGCAAAACCTTGCCGAGGCAGCGAGGGGAAGAAGGGATAGCTTCATGCATGAGCCTGAAACCATGCACCTCTTCACAAATACGACTACAGTAATACGTGCACGGACACACGTCACGTACCTGTTTGAATGGTCGAATGAACTCGAACGTCGACGGGGGGGACGATTGGCCACCATCCTCTTTCTTCGAAGCGGCGTTGGGGAGAAACACAGCCACAATCACTTCGTCTTCCTCCATCGCAACCTTGCGGTACCTAGGTACATAGGGGCGCCCGGGATGTGCGTGTGCGTCGGCTGAAATCGGCAGGCAGGGACGACCAGATTTGGCATCCACCTCACAATCGACACCAGATGGTACCTCAACGAGGTAAACCGTAACCACCAACCACAGCAGCAGCGCCTACAGCCAAGACCAACATTAGTACCAACAGCACGCGCACGCAAGGAATAGCGGCGCAAGGGGAACGACGGGTCTGGATCACGACGGTCACGAACACCACCCAACAGAGCTGCTGCAGCAGCAGCAGCAGCAGCAGCAGCAGCAGCAGCAGCAGCAGCAGCAGCATACACCACCGCCTACTAACAGAAGAAGGAGGACGACGACGATCGCCAACTCACCCAAGAAAGAAATCGCGGACCTTGATGCGGCGCTCCCCGCCCCTTATCGAGTTCAGGACGACGTCCGCACCGCACGCGGCTAGGAGCGGGTTCATGTCCGAGATTGGGCTGGCGGTCGCCAGATTTCCTGCAGATGTTAGGTGTCTGTACATCAATAAATTCGTCCCCGTGTCCGTTCAGTACCTTCACACATTCGTACTGGTCCAACAGACTCGATACCTTTCGCCGTCGCAGGATACATAATTTCCCAAAAAGCGTACCACGTAGGAAGTGAAAATAGGGAAAATGCGTCCCAAAACAAATTAAAGCAAACGCGATCGCGGATACGTACAGGTGTCCACATCGTATCGCGTGTCGCGATGTTGGAGGTATGGTGTTCTGACCCGCTGACGTGCCATCATCACCATCCCACCCACCCCCTCCATCTCAAAACCCAACGCCGTCGCCAACCCCACGTTATTAGAATGATCACCATGACCGGCAGACCAACATCTCAAACCACGCCCACACCACGACAAATGCTCCCTTCTTACCCGCCAGACAAGCCACGTTCCTGATCTGCGTCGAAGCAAACCACCTCAACATGTCCACGCACGCGCCGGCTGCCCCTCCGTTCCCGCCTCCTGCTCCCCTCTTCCTACCGTCAATCACGGCGAGAGCGTGCTCCACGGAAGACAGGGAGGCGGCCCCGCCGATAGAGACGCCTCCGTCATCTGCACTCCCTCTCGTGATGGCGTGTAGCTCGGGCACGCGGGCGGGGGAGATAAGCACCGGGTAGTGCATGCCTTTGAACTTCACCTCGATGCCAACCTGGACAAAAAATCGCGTTTTCGCACAATGTTGTGCCATCAGTGTCGTTGTCGTCGCCGGTGACGGTTTTGTTGTTGCTTCTGTAAAGCCTAACGTAAGCGTAGCGACCTAAAAATTAACATGCCAGTGCACCTGTCACGCACCGAGATCTCCCACTTGTTCACCGTGCGAGACACAACTGCACCAATCAAACGAAGCCTCCAGAAATGAAAACATAATAAAATACCGAGAAATCAATCCAGTTTAGAGATGTGTGTTTCGCAAACGTGCACCAGCCAACGTTCAACAGACACATGATATCAACCCAACCCCAACGACAAGGGCAAGGCAAGCAGTCAACCCAAACCACGTTCGGAAAGTCGCGCAGAGTTGACACAAAAACAACCGCAAAAACGTGCCGCCCCTTTACGATGGGCCTGCACACATATTTGCTTACGACTGGAAACAAGTCAAGACTGAAACGTTACCCACAGGGGCTACAGCAGAGCTCCCTGAACAACGCCGCGTAGTACCAAGCGATTCAGCCTGCCTTGTACCGGGCACCAGCACTATTGGCATCAGTATGTATTACACCACATCAAAATCCATCGGTGTCAAGGCATTTAATTAGGGCAACCGGCCTCATTTACATGCCCTTTACAGGGACTGCTTCTGAATTGCAATGCCAAGGCCTAATCGTTTTCAAGGTGAATTGGAATATAAAGATTAAACCCGCTCGTTTTTATGGGTCGCAGTCGGCCACCTTCGCACCATCACATAGCAAAACACCACGCAAACTCAAAGACCCTAAAAAGAGACCAACACGAAATCACCCCAGCAACAAAAGAAGACGCAATCCGGGCAAATCGAGTCAAAACCGATGTTGTCCTGTCAGCATTACCTCCGTGTTCCCAGCAACGATCCTGGCCTTGGGGTTCGCCGCCTTGAGCCGAAGCAGCTCTGAAAGGGACGTCGGACAGTGCCACGTGACACTGTCTCCCACGATGGACACGGCAGACGGTGTCCTGAGCATCAGCTCCGCCGGGAATATCGGCTCGCTTACATCCGTGTACCTCGTGCTGTACCTGGAAGCATTGGCAGGCCGAGGTGTTGGTTCTCAAGGGTGATTAACAAATCACTACCTGGAAGCATTGGCAGGCCGAGGTGTTGGTTCTCAAGGGTGATTAACAAATCACTACCCACCAGAACACAGGGACCCACAAGCAAACACAAACAGGTTCATGCGTACCCACGCGGAATGGAAAGTGTTCGTTGGCCGACTTTCCCACTTCCACTGCAGTGCAAGTACTTGCATCGATACGCCCGGTAGCCCAGCCAACCGTGAAAAAACACACGGAACGCCTACACAAACCCGACAGCGTGCAAACATGTCACACGGGGGGGGGGAACCCGGCCCAATTCAATTCTGCGGGCTCCCCGCCGAATGCGAATTTCTTGGTCATACGACAAGATATATGTTTTCGTACGTAGATGGCGAAAACTCGGTTCGAATCAACCGCCTTCCGCGTCCCACGCTGTGAGAACACGTGGGGCTAGGAGGAAACTACTGCCGTACCTCGAGTCTCTCGCCCTGCTGGTAGTGCATTCCCTCTTTTCGGAGCAACGGCTGCCGCCGCCGCGGCCACCGCCGACCACTTTAGCGATCTCATTTTCGGCGGTTTCGTCGTCACCAGATGCGGAAACAGAAAGAGGGCCGCTGGGAGGGACCGCCGATCCGTCGGTGGCAGCGGTGGACAGAATGGAGGACGTCTCCGAGAGCACTTGGTCCTTGTCTTGGTCGTCGACGACAGTAGTGGTATCATTGTCGTTGTCGTCCTCGGACGCGCTCGCGGTCTCTGCCTGTGTAAAGACGACGGAATCAGCATTGGTGGCAAAAGCAGCATAAACCGCCACGGGCACCAATGAGGCGAGGCATGATATGTAGTTTACACCATTGACCCTAGCAAGCAGCCGGCAGGCGCTTGTGGGTTCAGGCCAAGGTGGAACGGGAAGACAAAGACCGTGTCAGAACCGACCCAAACAACGGCAGCAGCAGGCGGGAAGGGCGTGTGCTGGCCAAGATCGACCTGACTTTGCGACACATATGCATGTACGTCATGGGGAAATAAATCTCTTATTGAAGTAATCATCTGCCGAACGCCGGTTCCAGATCAGGAAGAAACAAATACGGAACCAGGACCCACTGGAGAAGGCGGGTCTGATTACCCTCACATCAAAATGCACACACCGTCTGGCGCTGCCAGCATCTCGACAAACCATGTGTTTTGACCTCAACAAATGGCCCAAGAAATGCTAAGGTTAGTGGGCAGATAGCTCCAGTCCACCCAGCTTTAGATAGTCGTCGACTGGTGTCCAGTTAGCAGTGCTTGGGTCAATTTCGACACCCAATCAAAGAAACCTAGGTACACAACAATGAGAAAGGCGTATATACAAGGATAGCAGCGTGTGCAACCTCGTGGCCGCTGCCGTAACCCACCTTGGACTCCAAGCAAGGGCACCCGCCGCTATCCCCACGGCAGCACCCGGCACGCCTTCCGCCGTCCACGCCGAGGCTTTTGGCGGCGTCCAAAATAGGCCGATAGCCTTCAGACGCAAGTGAAACGTCGCGTCCATAGTCAGTCGATCAACTCGAAAACACGTACGAAGTAGTACTTGTACTGTACAAGAGGCGGAATCTGCTTTGCGCCATGCCTGCTATAGGGAAGACGAGCCGGCGAGCAGGAAAGTAACCGTGTTCGCCTCCAAGTCCGAATGCCCTGTGTATAAGGACTCGTGGGATGTGCGTGGGGTCCGGGCATGTGACCGTGACCGTGTGGGCGAGCAAGGCGGCATTGCCCTCTGCAAGGCCGCTGAAGACGTCTTGCGCCAACAAGAACACGAACACGGGAACAGTTTTCCTTCCTACGTTGAAACATTTCGATTCTCCAATCCGGAACAGTAGGCCGTAGGTTGCACGATATGGGCAGCTTGTCTGGTCAGCCCCACCGCCGTCTTGGACCGGAACCTCATTCCCGTCCACGCTCCCAAATAGCAAAACAGCAGACCAACATCAACAGACACATGACGAACCACCAGATACAGCGCGCTTCGGGAACCTCAATTGCTGAACCAATCTTGCGAAAAAAGCAAATGGGGGCGTGCATCGCGAAAGACATGGCCATCTACATGGCCCCGGATCGGAGCCCTGCCAATCGATAGGAGGAAGCTTCGAGCGATGATTACAACACGTGATCAAAACAAAAACAAAAAAAAATGTGCTGTCATTTCCATCGATGAAGACCCGAATTGTTCAGCCAAACATCCGCCCTCACAACTACCAGCCCACAACACCCTTGCACACAGGGAACGCGTACCGAATATAGCATTACGTCGACAAATGGCGGAGATGGCCAGAATGAGAACGATCATGTGCGATGCCTTCCAGCTTTCGACAAGAGCATTCACTGGTACTGCGGTCAAGGCGGCCCATGCAGAGGCAATGAATGTCCCCGATCCCCGAACTAACAAGACAGCAGGGGGATCAGCTGTCTTCCTTGAAAGAGGCGTCGTCCCCGCGGGGAATATAGCAAGCGAGGGTTCGCACCACCTTGCGCGCCACGGCTTTTCGACGGATGGGAATGCATCAATCGCTAATGGGGTTGATAGAGGATTCCGAGGCGTACGACGAGGAGGAGCACGTTGATCTTAGCGAATGCCCGTCAAGCTAAAAACAACGGCACGTATCTGCAAAACCCTACATTGCACCTGATGAACACACGCGAATCGTCATCAGTGCAGCGACAAGACTTTGCTGGGCACCCGCTGTGCAAAACGTCGAAACCGTCACAAACAGCAGCAGGACGAACCGGGGATACCGACCGAAACGCCAGTGCGATGGAAAGAAAGTGTACACGTCTCGGACAATCGCAAACCACAAAAGATGATCTACCTAACTAGGCATTCAATGTTTTTATACCTGTGCAACGGCAGAGATTACCGTCCAATCCATCCTCGATCTCCGCAGGGGTGGCCGAAGGGTTGGAGCGAAGGAGGGCGTACAGCGCCATGACGATCCCTGGAGATGTATTCAAAAAATGGGCATGAGAGACTCTGTGGATCCCAGTGCAACGCTGATGCCCGGGCATCATGACACTGACACCGGCGTTAAAAATATTTCGTGCGTGTTTCGTAATGTGGTTCTTCGCATTTATGTTATTGGAATCTTCGAACACCAAAACCACAATCGCAGCCTGCAGTTCGGCCTCTTATGTATGTGTACGGGACGACAACATCTGTGATCGAGATGCCGATATTCCCGACACGTGTGTGCCATCATGATAAGACAACCCTACTCACGATAGGACATCCCCGATAAGTCGACGAGATAGTAGTACCGAGATGACACCATGGATTACTTCGAGCGGTTGGGTTTACAGGAAGTGTGCAAGGCCCGGGTAAAAGACAAAAAGCGTTTTTGAATATCCAAACAACAGCAGCAACAGGAACGGAAACAGCGGTGTTGTAGCTGCAGCAACAACAAATCACCTGGGGTACAGAAGCCACACTGGCTGCCGTGCATCTCGGCGATCCGCTTCTGGACCGGGTGCAGCCCTTGACGCATCGTGCCCACGCCCTCCACCGTGGTCACATGGCACCAGTCCACAGAGCACTGCACTCGCATTTTACGAAATAATGGCACAACGAACTAACTGCTGTCACGGGCCTCCTTCGCTAGACGAAACAAATTACCAAGAGCACAAACTTCTCCCGCAACAGCCTCTCCCATTTCCAAATACTCAACAACGATTTCCGTATTTCTTTGGGGGCACACCGCCCTTGGGAACAGGACAAGCAATTGTACCCATGGGTGCCCCGTGGTACTTCGCCAATAGCAGCGACGTTTCGGGTACCAATGCCCTAAACGACATACACCACGCTCCGACCTCTTGAGAAAATACTCATGCATTCAAAGACAGATAACCACAGCAGTCGACGGGGATGGGTAGAAGTCTATACAGAGAACTCCAAACCGAAAAAACTAGATTTCTCCACACCGAATGATTTAGATTTCGAATTGGCTCTACTCACACGCTCATGGACATGTATCAAAATGGCAACAAGCGAAACATCTCCACGCGCCGCACGATTCGCCCGCCCTACACCGGAGCTGCAGACCAACTGAAGATCTACCAGGACAAGAAGTGCGCCGATCGCAACTGCCCGCGCTGCGACTGCGGGGCCAGTTGCAGCGCGGGCAGTTGCGATTGGGGCGCCTCTTGTCCTGGTAGATCTTCAGTTGGTCTGCAGCTCCGGTGTAGGGCGGGGGAGTCGTGCGGCGGGTGGAGATGTTAGGCTTGTTGCAAATCGAAAATGGCAAACAACAGGGATGACACAAAAACGGCCTGAATGCGTCCGTTGGCATGATGCACACCGTACAGTAGTAGTCGTGAGAGATACAGGGCACAGCAGACAGCGAGCGATAGATCCGGATGTCGGCCAGGATCTGGCGGTTGGAAATGCTTGGTCGAACTCAGCGAGCACTGGTCTGCGTAATTGAATACTCCGGTCTAATGCAGGAAAGCCGACAACGATGCCATTGGCGAAGAAACAATAACAATTGTATATCGATATATCGATTAATCTCTCGGTGTCAATTTACATGCCAACACATAGTGTGCATCGCAAGGCGGTCTATAGGTTAGATGAGTAGCGGAATGAAGGCTTCCGAATTCAGAGAGCCTGGCAAGCAGCTGGCAAGCAACATGATGTTCCTGTTCACGCTTTCGATCTTGTATTTCGATCTATTCAGTTTGTCGTTTAGATTTGCCCACTTCCTCCATATCGAAGTTCCGGCGGCGAAACAAGGTCCCGTTGTCCAATCAGCCGCATTTTCGATTTTCGATTTTCGATGCAACACTGCTGACCCTCCCTTTTTTTGAGCGGGAGCAAAAAGCGAGTGGGGCGTGTGTTTGCCGTTTCGTCCTGACCGGCGAGAACCCGACCAAGGAACACCTCGACGGCACTACAAAGGGGCACCAAGATTGTACCAGGGGATGTACCTCTCTGGCCCGTGATGTTGACTACCAGTTTCATTTTCACCTCACCTAGCGCTCCAGACTTTCTGTCTCCATTACTTTTATCGTTTTGCGGATCCTTCGAGCCCACTATGTTTTTGAGTATTCGAAGAAGCATATTTTTAGATTTAAGTTAGCCTGTCACCACGGGAATCGACCGCGTTAAGTGGTACCACTACGGACAGAAGGAGGTACCGAGTAGAGAGATCGGAACGATTTTTAGGCTCAACTCCATACGCCCATACATAGAGAGGCCCAACAAATTCGTGCGAAGCGCGAAAAAGAACAGGCAGAGAAAGAGACGCAGGCGCAAATAGATATGGATGGAGCCTCACAGAGAGGTCACCACTGGTACTGCACACGCTCACACCTCACCCAACACCACCAGCCGTGTACGCAGGACTGCTACTGTTTAGTAGCGCGGGGACGAGTGAAAGTGTTTGTGGTGTGGACGAAGCTCTCATGAATCAGCTGCTGCTGCTGCTGCTGCTGCTGCTGCTGCGGCTGCTTCTGCCGCACGGTTCCGGCACGATCTTTAATGCGCAGAGAAAAAACTACAACCATGTACAACAAAGATTACCATCTTGGTAAGACACAAGATAACACACCCCCAGGACCGATTTTCAAAATTCGATGTATCAACGGCAGCGCCGAAAACGGCGTTGAAGCCGTCTGACGAGAGCTCTCCGACAACGAATAGTTTCGTTTATGCATCCTCTTCGCCCGTTGTGGAGAAATCGGGCTTTGAAAAAATCAGTCAACGGGTGTGTTATCTTGTGTCATATGCGGTAGCCAACTGAGATTCCGTGACGTAGATGTTCAGGGAAATGACGTCATGAAACACCGAAAAAAAAGGGGCCTCACTAAAGATCGTAAGATCCCGAAAACTCGAAACAGATTTCACCACACTCGCGTTATAGGGAGGGATTGGGAGAGAATGTACCACCCGATGCGCGACTTCAGACAACGCCATCCGGAAAACAGCACAACCAGGAGAACATGTCAATCTCTAAAAAATACCACCACCCCGCTTGTCGTGAGTGGTCCCTCACGTCCGGGAACACAAAACAGGATCATGATATGCATCAGATATGGATACAGCAGTAGAGATTATATTCACGTGTGGAATGCGAAAGAGACAAGAGACAGAGACAGAGACAGAGACAGAGACAGAGACAGAGCACTACACTACTGCTGTCACGTGAACGTCTCCAGCAGGCAAAGGAAGAGGCACCTACCACGGGCGCCAGGCAGGCATTGACTGCGGCGTGCTTGATCTGCTTCTTGTCCGAGTCGAAGGAAGACACCATCACCGTGCATGCCCCGCACCCACCCTCCCCACATCCAAGCTTGGTCCTGCTTACGGCAGGACGATCGTGTAGTACGTCCCACAAAGCAGTGGCGCACGTCGAAAGGGGCATCAGAGAGCGAGCTGAATACGACTGCGATGACCGTTGCGCACTCGTCTGGCTCCCTCAAAACTGCAACTTGTCGCTATTATAGCTTCTTGTCGCGTCCAGATTCTACACGCCGCAAGCACACCGACTCTTTTGCGCCACAGCCTCACCCGGTCAGGCCGGCCGCCCGGAGATGTTGCAGCAGTGTTGTCTGAGGCTGGGCATCTTTGACCACCTGCTTAGCTCCATTCACGAAGAAGACTAGGTGGTTTCTGGTCCCCTGGGTGTCACCGGCTGCATCATCATTCCCCGTCGGCATTGTCGCGTGGAAAACTCCTCCTTGTTGTATGTAGTCAGTCAGCAGTCGGTGCCTTGGGATGTCGAAAATCTGTGTGTTCTAGGAAGCTTGCACCATGCTCTCGCTCGCCTGAAGGTGTCGTAGTACACTCAACCGTCCAACTGCTGTTGTTGCTCTTTCTCGTCGACAGCACAACAACAGTGGCAGGAGGAGAGAGGTGTTTGGCTCCAGGAGGAACAAGAACATGCCACGAGCCCCCCCTCATTACGCACACTGACGTAATTCCTATTCGCGACACCCCTCCGCTTGGCTCCACGGGCTACTCCATCTGCTGTCAGTCAGCAACGAAGCGTAGCAACAGCCGATCGATCGCTGAGCTGAGCATGGTGTTCAACGAGCAGGCAAAGGTGCTACTGATGGTGGCGAACCTTCTGCTTCCATGGAGTACCAGAGCTTTCGTGCTCCACTGCAATGCCAACCAGCGATCCGTGCTCGGCAGGCACGAAGGCGTTGTCATGATGGAGACTCTTCACGGGAACGGTGAGATATCTAGCATATTGTTTCGTCAAAATACACACAGATAGGGCAACATGCAGGGGGGGGTGCAACGGCAGAGTGGCAGAGTACTTCTAGCCTGCTATGCTTGGGTTGGTGACGTTCGCATACGGCTGCCGCTGCCGTTGTTCGTAAAAACTCGACACCTTCCTGCTGGTTTCATTATCGTTAGTAGTCACATGGCTCTTCTGACTCAAGAACGCCACGGATCCCGCTACGCTGTAGACACATCGCTGTTGTGTGTAGGTCATGCGTGATGCAGCCAGCACGTGATATGTATGTGCAAACATTGGTTGGGTTGCTGGATTTGTATTTCTGGGTTTCTCACAAAATGAGGCCGCGCGAGGCGTACGTTTGCATGAGGCCTACACGCCGATCTCCATGTGTACATGTAGACCGACCTCACAACGTCATCTGATCTCTGACCTCTGGCCAGCAGTTACTACAGCACGTACACTTCCACGATCCGTACAACTGCCACTGCATATAGACCGTTAGATTTTGTTATTGCTGCAACAACGCCGGGCGGCGAGATGAAGAATGTAGTACAATCACAACACACATCGGGCGGTATTCGCCCAACACGTGAAGTAGTGCCGTATGTTGCGTAAGATACCACGCCCCCTGGATCGATTGTCATAACTCGATTACTCGACCACGAAGAGCATGCCGAGTTCTAATGACACGTTTTCGGAAATCTCTCGACGCCGTCACTGTTTTTCCTGCCGAGAAATCGAGCTTTGAAAATCGGCCCAGGGGTTGTGATATCTTATGCATGTTATGTTATGTATGCATAGCATCGCTTCAATGGCGTATTGTCGAACGTACCGAATCCAAAGCAAAAATAAAAAATCGGAAGAGAAATGGGGATAATGATTGGCAGCCTTTGACAGGGGGGGTTAAAGGACACGTGCGGAATAAAAGGTAGACTGACGGAGTCTGTTCAAAGTCCTTACATTGAGCAATCGGGGCAACAAAATACACACAATACAAGCAGTAGTAGTATACCCACTCCTACAACTATCTAGGGAACGCGACACCGCGTTTGTATAGACCCTCCCTCTTGCCTTTTTCTTGTTTTGGCCAACCCCTGTGGCTGATTTCCTCTGCTCTGATGCTGTATTTGAGCAAGAACGTGGGCGGAGAAGGGAGGGAGTGCCTCGGGGCCTCAGAGGGAGAAAAACACTCTCGTTTGATCCTCAAGAACTTCAGTAATTGGTACAGATGCATGCGTACCTCGTAGATCCTGCGGGTACACAAGAAATCTATGGCGAGCTGTGAATTCGTGCGCTTCAGGACAGGGACACACTTATCACTTCAAGCCCGAATGAACCGCACGACACTCGCGGACGTGGATTCCACACCAAACGGCACACGGCAGCCTATCCAACCCTGCAGAAGCTGGGTGCATGATTTTAATTTCTTCCCCGACAGCGGCATTTCGGCTGCTCAGGGGTCCAGTTGATGTTGGGCTCCCTCCGCTTTGTCTCCACTCCGTCTTTCGCTCATGTCTGATGTTCTCCGCCTTTCCCAAAAGGAGGGGAAGGAGGGTCCACCAACCGCGGAGATTTCCTGTCGGGTGCGGCCGTGACCGCTGCAGCGGTGCTTGGGGTGTCTGCGGCCGGCACTGTGGGAGCCCCCCCCCCGGCGAGCGCGCTTGTCAAGGGTAACGCACCTCCGCCAGGGTACAACAAGAAGCGCGGCAGCGGGTACGGTAACGGAGAGCCAGGTGAGCGAGAGATTAGTTGGTCCGAAGCTGTGTGCCGCCTCCCCTGCGCCGTGTCCGACTCACGGCGATCGTTCGTGGTCTAGACGGGATGCTGTTCAGGGGGGTGGTGTTCGTGTCGTTTGAGTGCTTGAAAAGCTGCGGGGTACCGAGTTCGTTGTTGACAGTGCGAGGGTTGGTTGGGTTGTAGTTTTACTCGCAGGAAGCACAAATCGTGTCGACAACATAGCCAGGACTGGGGAAAAGAGGCGTAGCACCTGGATTGGACGTGTGGTACGTGTACGTCGCCTTGCTGTTGCCGTTGGTTTGAATGACATTCTTCATTCGTCACGATGCTGGCTTTGGCTGATGGAGAATGTCGTCGTGCTCGAATGGCGTGGCCTGCAGTGGTGGGTATTGAATGCTGGCAATGCAAGGGAGTGCTGCCAATTTCCAACAGTTTCTTGATACATAATGGTATGTAACTGCCACTGTTGTTTCTTGTGGTGTTTGCACACCTTGCATGCAGAGGCTACTCCCACGGCAGACGCTGGTCCCGAGGATAGTGACCCGTCGAGGACCTTTTCTGTCACGTCTAGTGGCATCCGCTTCAAAGACCTCAAGATCGGGGTCGGGCCTGAGGTGCGGGGCTGATGGTGGTTGGATGGCGACTGCGCGATTCGGGGAGGGTCCGCAGTGGAGTATTTGGCCGTTACTGTTACTGTTGTCGGAGTGTTCGTCTTGCCGTCGGTGATGGTGAAATTGTTCAGATGTGATGCAGCAGTGTAAAAATTTCACGACAGACCATTAAGGTAGTGGGATTGGCATGAGGTGCGATTTGGTGTATTTTTGTCGTATTGACATATGAGTATCTTTTGTATGTCAAGCCGTCTCTTGTCTCCCCTTGGCCATCCGCCTTCCGACTGAAGTTTCCCCTTAGACAGGTCAACTTCAAGTCAGGGCCACGGACACATTCAGCCATGGGCACACGTGTTGTTTTCGGATGAGTTGCTGCCCATCGCCAACTCTCAATCGTCACCATCAACACACTGTAGACGCTGAAACGGCATATTTGGAACAGTGTTAGGATATGGGCTACCCTTGGTGCCGCATCACCCTGCAGTTCCAACCACCGTTTGATTGACGCGACATTGTGTTGGGTGCCCTCGCGTCTTGTCCGAGGTTCGTGCCCCGTGGATGTTTCTCGGATATGTCCTTCGTCGTTTGGTTACCCATGCTTTTTCAAAACCCGCAAGGTGAAACCCGCAAACGTTGTGGACATGAGGTACCGTGTGGAGAAACTGGGGAAGAGAAGCTACGACGGTATCTCCGGAGAGGTGCGGTTGGGTCACCAAGAACAACGTTGTTTTAGTAATGTGTGGAGATATGAGGTTGGGGTGCCAGGAACGGGATGTATGACCAAACCCGATCGTTGTTGTTTCAAAACATTTCCTTGCTCGTCGTTTGGTGTCAGGCCTCTCGCCATATGTACAGCAGTGGTGTACATTTTGCTGTTTTCCAGCAAGTGGACCCTGGTCCCTTTGAAATGCGTCGTGGTTTGGTTTGGTTGCCATGTGCTGGGAAAGCTACTGCTGTCACTCAGTAGTTGCGTAAGGAAGCCTTTGTAACCTGTCACCATCCTGTTGGGCCGAGCCAACGTGTACACCTTATCCACGAACCAATGCGGGTGTTGTGTTGCCCGGATCCCTAGGTAGTGGAGGCACACGTGACGACATGGCGATAAACGCACCTTCGCTGCAGCGAGGAATCCATGAACATGGGGCGTGATGCCAGCGCTGTTCGACCACGGACTCACGCGAAGATACTTTAACACTCACGCCCACGTGTGTTATTGCAGACCCAGTCGGTGTTTTCCCTAGGCTACGGGGAAGATGATGACAAGGAGGGAGACGTGTTGACGGTACCGCTTGGCTCTGGAAGGCTCATCAGCGCCGTCGATGAGGCAAGCACATTGACAGTAGTCCCGGGGGGAGGAGGGGGTAGAATGCTCGAGATGTCTTTCTTGGCACAGACATCGCGGTTCTAACTTCACTGCCCACCCCGCTGGCCTTGCGAGACAATGCCGGCAACGGTGGGTGGTATCATCCGTTTTTGCCACGTTCTGGTTTGAGAATCAACCTATATTAATGCTGTTGTTGAACATGCCAACGAACGGCGAAGAAGAGCGGAAGGTAGAGCCACAAACCCCGAATCCCGAAACATGTTGTCTTGCAAGTTTGAAGACCACGCCCAATGGGCAACCTTTTATCCCACCCATCTTCCGTAGCACGGCACCCTTCTCATTGACACGCGTGGTCATTTGTTTGTTGCCTGGTGTTCCACCGGGTGATCAGAGGCCCTCTTGCTCCTACCTCCGGCAATTCCGCTGCAGTCTGAAACAAATCTTGACGCTGCCGAAAACAGAACGTTGATCTCTACGTTAAGAATCTGCCTACCACCTGTTTGTTTGACTCCCCCTGCCGACGTGTAAGGGTGCGATACCTGATGCCAACTGTGCTTTTTTGCTTTTGGGGGAAACTTGACTTCCAGGGGGTAGTTGGCATGCGGGTGGGGGGCGTGCGGCGAGTGGCGGTGAGGCCGGAGAGGGGGTGGAAGAAGCAAGACCCCAAGTGCGCCACGGAGATCGACATGGGGGTTATGTCCGGAGTGCCTGGCGCGGCTCTAGCAAAGGTTAGTCAGCGGTCAGTTGCTAGTACTCTTTCACAGGTTTCGCGAGCCTCTTTGCGTTTTTTCGGGGGTTCCGTGGATGTGCATCATCGCCACCCTCGGTGGTTATGGGCTGGACGAGATCGATCTTAATGCAGAGCGTTAATCTTCATTGGTAGGGACGTACTTCAATTTACTCGGGCAGAATTTGGATCGAGCTATGCATATGACCTCGAACGTCTGTGCTATTTCCCGAAATGGTCGCCGGCGCTTCGGATCTCGCAGCGCTTCGATACGGCTCGACGCTCTAGCCTGCCTATAGTGTGAATATTCAACTACTGTTGTACGTAATGATGTCGCGCAGCTCTACTGTCATGTTGGAACTTCAACGTTCTTCCGTGCAAAGCGCAAAGCTTGAACCCGTGCGTTTATCCTTCTTCTCGTGAACAGATGCTGCTAGCCCCACGGTGTTTTACGGCATCTTCTACCATGGTATCTGTGCCTGAACATTTCCCCATCGACCTTCGCTGTATGTATGTAGCCTTCATGTCGATCGGTACAACAGAGGTGAATAGAGCTGGCGTCGGTCCACGCTGCTTCATGCAGGTCAAGTGCGAGGTCGATAACATTGCCTCTCCTCTCTCCTGTTGAATGCACCATCATCTCCACTTCCTCTAATGCCTGATCGTGTGTGAATTGCTTGTTTTGTTTTCGCCCCCTTCAGGTGGAAGATTGCATCGATCTCACACTTGAGCCCAGGCCGGTAGGCTACGGCGCAACGCGGCGAATGGCTCGTCGCTTCGACGAGACCCTAATCGTAGAGGTGGAGATGGTCGGGGCAAAGGAAGGAAACGGAAGAATATTCTGAGAAAATAATGTGTGATGCGTCAGTCTTTCCGGGTGTGCTTGGGCCGGCGAGGGACGCTGCTGAAAGGAGCAGCGAAAACGGAGCTCCTGGAAACAACAATTATGTTCCATTATCGCGTTTGTCGTGATTTGTCTGGGCCCTTTTCTGTCCGTTTGTTATTTTTCGAAGGTATGCATCCTTTGTTGGGTGTTTTAGTTGGCCTGTGACCGCGGAACGCATCCGCATCAGTTGGGTCGGGTGTGTACATGTACTTGCGCCGAGGCAGTAACGGTGTTTATAGCGAAGACGACGAGTCGTCTCAAGGTTTCCTTGGATCCGTAGACATTTTCCTGCAAGAGGTGTCAATACAGTAGCCTCTTAGAGAAAGGAGTGATGTGGGGAACAAATGTGACAGACGCCGTCAAAGCTGGGCTCGCGACTAGGAGTGAGTGCTGTTGGTTGGCAGGAAAGCATGCTCTATACCAAAAGGCCGACGTGTTGAGATTGGTCACTGCGAACGTGCCAATAATATCTAGATTTTGTGAGACCGTTTTTATCAGAAGTTCCTGGCTGGGGCTTTGGGATAGAGACCGAGCATATTGGGTTAGGTTAAAGCGATAGCCAGAGGCAGGGGGCTGGGGAGAGGGCAAGACAGGGTTGTGGGGATATGTCTACTGCTGTAGAGTAGGTGCAATCCTAGGATTAGGCGGAATAGCTAAATAGACTGTACGTCTAGCATTGCCCAGGGGGAGAAACTGCAATCAATCCTGTCCAGCAGTGGAATTTTCGACCATGAGAGGAGCCGGGGGTGATCCAACCCCTGGCAATAGACCTGTGGAGACTAGATTCAGTACCATAGGTTGTTGCCTTGCTGAGTGTGGTAGATGCTGGGATGGAATTCCAATACATCTCTTCCACCCTCTGTACTGGTGCTTCAAGCGCACGCAACCTGCGAGATGCTCTCCTCCAGGTCAAGCTTAGCGAATGCGGGAGTATGTAGGTACACTACGCGTAGCTCTTGCCACTTGGACCGATCGTCAGTCTTTCTAGTTGGGCCGCAATCAACAGCAGTTTATAACAAAGGTCCGCGCGCATGCACACATGTACATGTCCGCATTTGTCTCACTCTATTGGGTCGCAGGTTATGTAGCGGCGCGGTCCATGTCGCCGCAGCAACTTCGAGAGGCGAACACATCCTGCGTATCCGGTGAGGGATGTTGTACAACACCACGTCGTCAGGCTAAGGTATATTGTATACAGAATAGAAGAATGACTACCAAACACGTTCGAGGCAATATACATATGTACCCTTATCGAAGGGAGGTGCTGAAATCCGTATGTACCACATTCAAAACTTCAAAACTATTGATCACCTTCACGAAATACTGCCGAGTACAGAAACGCCAGCGTGCATTTCGTTCCTTTTTTATTTTTATATGACCTGATGTGACAGTCCCGCGCAAGGTCTGTCAATAAAAAAGTCGACCTTCCATGTGCTGACATTTGCTGCTGCCTAACCCTGGAGAGCTGGAGAGGAGGGAGGCACGATCGCTTCACCCCGTAAGCGAACGGTGAGAGTGGTGTAGCCGCTTAAATTGAGCAGCAATAGACACAGTCTGTCGGCATTTGCTGTGCGTATGATCGGGCTCTATTCGGAATTCGGAATCCGGATGAATCGAGAAAACCTGTCAGGGACGTCATGTACAAGCAGCTGCAAGAGTCCCCCAAACTCGCTTCAACATCCACATCACAGCACCGTGAGAGCGGCATTCCGCTACTGATGAACTGCAGTGAGCGCTTCCTGCACACCACAACTATTTCTGATGTGATGCACTTGATCATGTCTCGGAAATGGAGGACCCGCATGCCATAGGTCGCCGCTCGCGCAGCCTCCGATGTGTTGGTTGTTGGGCGTGTTGTTGGTCGTCTGCACCGAAAAAAAAGGTGTGCTTTCTCCCCTTTACCAAAACACCTCCCTACTGAATATAATAGTCGACTGAGACAAAGATGATGATGAGGCCGAAGCTAATTTAAGGTACCACCCAGGGAAAGCCCCATAACTCTTCAAAATTACAAGTATTTAAACATTTCAATACTACAAGCAATGGGGAGCTCGAGATGGGGCAGAAGAGGGTTCGGGTTGGAATACAGCGCCGCAGTATGCGTATGACAGCAACCATCTATGTGTACTGCTCTAGAACCCATCGAGTCAACTTGGAAGCTGGGAGAAGAAATACTACACGCAGTAGAAACACCCGCAGAGCAGCACGACTGTGACTGAACTATGTATCCTCGCACCCATTATGAACTTGTGAAAGGATAGTTTAGCCATGGTTGTACCGTGCCGGGGGAACGTCTCCTCGCATCCTCCCGCCAACATCACATGATCCAACTACTTACTGCTGTACATGCACAAAGCCGGAAACTGCAACGATGGCGCATGAAGTACACACATGTCTCCGGAGATTTTTGAGTATCATCTATCGTGCATGCTGCCTTTCGTTGGTTCTGTGGCCTGTGTTTCTACACGCCGATAGAGCACACCTCCTCCGACAAAGACGCGTCCTTCCTCGACTTTGTGTGCTTAGTAGGCGACGAACGGCAGTGCTGCTGCTGTATTTGGTTGCAACTACCGGTGCCGACTGTGAACTGGAGCGTCACCGGAGACAACCCTCCGGGTATGTTCGGCCTCTCATCCTTCTCATCTCGCAAACGCGAAAGGTAAGCATACCAAGGACAGTACCTAGCCAGATATCGGACATTCGTGAAACACTCTGTAAATTTGTAGAATAATGCTTTGGTCAGATCAGATACCGCTAAATGCTTCGGTCAAACTACGCAAAATGTCAAACGGCGTATGTTTTCTTCCGTTAGAGTTAATTATTTTTACGATGCCTTACCACGGAGCGCCCACCTGCAAGCGGTGGAACTCGGAGGTCTCGTAGATATTAACTTCGTGGACGGGGCAAGTTGATTTCGATATTTTCTGCGTCCGTGACAACTTTTGGCTCGCGGAGTTGAATGGGGATTTCGTTGCATGCATGGTCGACGACTACAAAAGCGCTACCCCCGAGCGACTGACTCGATTAGATTGAGCGCACGGGGTTCTGCGGACTGTATTGTGTAGGCATGGTCAAGGACAACATCCAGGAGGTCGCCATGTTTGTCAGGAAGGCCCGATCCACACAAAATTGAGAGAGAGCCCATCGCTCCCGCTCGGCATGCGATGCCAAGGAAAAACAATTGAACGCCAAAATATCAAATGACACCAGCCAAGACGACCTTCTAAGTTTGCCTGATTCTATCCTTGCACCCCTTGGTAGATCGGAGTGTATTCGCCGCCAGGGTTCCACCATACCAAGCCATGTCCAACAAGCACACAAAAAATGTACTTCGTACATAATGTATTGTTTCTGTGTGCTTGTTGTGAACAGATTGGTTCGGTGAAACCCCGGCTGCGAATACACCCCGATCTAGCAGGGGTGCAAGGATATTGTCAAGCGACTCTTGTTGGTGTTTTGCCTTGACTGGTGATCTTTGGTTCTCCACTTTGTTGTGCAGATTTATCTGTTCTTCTATACATTATTCCTACCCGTGTCCCGGAGGATGAAGGGGGAGGCCCGAAGCCCTTAATCCTCAGACCAGATGTGTGCTTGTTTCTCGGAACTCTGGCTCACGCCCCCTGGTAAAACCCGGGCCTTCGCCGAATCGGGACTGCGCTGGTCCGCTCCAAGTACGCAAGCATCATTATGGAGAGGGGAAGTTGTGTCAAACATGCCTTTGTTCACACAAGCGAGCCAAATTCGCACATCGTTGTTGGAGGAATCATGGGGATATACTTTACCCGTTAACTAAATGCCATCGAAAACTTCGCACTGTACTTGCGCGTCGGGGCCTCCATCTTTTGGTGGCAGCCGTGGTATTCAAATGAAGACGCCCGCTCCTGTTGCCGGTGGACTTGAGGGAAAGCGCTTCAGTTTCCATGCACAATGGATGCCCCTGACGTACGGTCGTGCACAGAAGCACCCTGAAATCCGCACGTCGAACAGACCATGCCCAAAAGAGTTTTGGTGCAAAAATTCACGGATTACCCACCCTCAAAATGGGGGTGGCACCACCGCTCTTCCCGAACAACTCCCGCCAATGTGTCCTGTTATTGCTAAGCAGAACGTTTCAAACCGGCACGTCAAGGGATACCCACGGTCGCATCAATGCGGGTGAGTTGTACGAGGAGCGCTATGGCGTTAAGGACTACAGGTCGATCAACCCGTGGATGTTCCCCGCTCGGGTCCTGCTCAAGGCGAAACGAAAAGCCACAATATCAATCGGGGTGAGAGAGAATCTGGACATGAACGGAATCTGGACATGAACGGCATTGCACCCATTTGGGCTGGTCAGTCCTTTGGCATACAACAGCGGAGGCCTAAATGGCATACTGCTACAGTGTATGGTGACTCGATAGGTCGTCGTCCGCTCTCCCCGTTGCTTCTGGCATATTGATGCTGCGATGGGCATGGTCTCCCTGGCAAACCAGTTGGTGTTCGTGTTGAGAACGCGTTTCAAAAGCGAAAAGCCAAATGAGCGAACATCGTTTACTAGTCATCATGTGCAGGATCAATATGTTTCATCTTTATACGCTCACGCAGCTTCCGAACCTCGTTGTCCAATACAATGCTGTCGATACTTTGAACATGTAAATGTGTTCAGGTTCTACACGTGAAGGTCGTGGAAGCCAGGGGGCTGATGGCGAGGGACGGCATGCTGGGGAAGAGTGATCCCTACGTGAACCTGGCCCTCACTGGCAGGTTAGTATTTCCTACCTATTTATAGTTATTTGTATGCAGATATTTGTATTGAGGTAGCCGGGTGCGCTATTGATGAACGCTATAAACATGTTTTCAGTTGTGGTACGTGGCGTGGTATGTATGGCTCCTGGACAACACATGTTGAAAGTCACAAGTTCATGCCAAATACTCCAGGTATTTTATGCCTCACCTGTACGACCAGAATGCCGCCTAGCTCGACGTGACAAGCATAACAAGCCCTGCGGTGTGGATACAGAGTGGGCACGAGAGAGACGAAGATACCTGCATTAGTGAAGGTGGACACGTAGCCATCGCGCCATTGGCATCATAGTTACAGGTCAACCTGCGAACATTGCCCGCCCCTGTCACAATTGGTCGAGGTGCCACTGTATGCGTGATCTCTGTGGCCAGGTATCTATCAACCGGCCAGGAATGGTCGGAGCGGCTACGAATTTGCGACCGGACGAGAACCATCAAGTACACCCTGAACCCCGTCTGGAACGAAACTTTTTCGCTGCCCGTCAGAAGGTGGGGGACGTATTTGCGGACGTACATACCAATGACCCTGGGTGCAGAGCAGTTTAGATTTCCCCCTACCCCAGCCAGTCCGTCGAAGTGTGCCTTTGGCTTTTTGGTAACCATTCTTTGTGTGGCGTCCACATGATTATATTGCTGGAATGTGCCTGCTGTTCGCTGCGATCACATTCTATTCTGACAGGGCCGGGGCTGTCCTTCGCGTGGAGCTTTGGGACTGGGATCGCGGTTCGTGCGATGATTCGTTGGGCAGCGTCGAGGTCAGCATCGACAAGGAACTCCGGTCACAGAAGGTAGGCAGATGCGGTACACATGTCACATCAGCAAGTGGCACCGCAGGCTGTTTACAACCTGGTGGATCGCCCTCGTGATTGCATTCGTTGCTTAGGCTGACAGTCCGTTGACTAGCCACGTTTTCTGAACGTGCGGGGGCTGCAGCGGGATGTGCTGCCAAGAGGAAAGCCATCCCATGTATATATCGCAACCCAAGCAGTCTGGAATCAGTTTCTATTCCGGTTAGGACAGCGTTTCAAATACAACGCTGCTTCGCCAGCGTGCGGTAAGATGCGGCACAAGTCCTCCACGTAGTGAAACCCAGACTCAAACCCCTATCCCTCCTTCCTTGATTCTCCGTTGGTGAAATACCCGAAACTGTGCATTCGAAACGCTGTAGACAATCGACACGTGGTACGTGCTGGACGCTCCCTGGGATTTGAATGACGATCCATCTGTGGTTCCGGATGCGCACGTTTCTCGACTGACAGAGCTGGAAGCTTTCTCAGAGATGGAAGAAGAGACGCAAGAGGTTGGTTTTTGTGTTGGGGAATTCTACACGGAAATTTGGACAGTGATTGTGTGATGGATTGGTCTTCAATGAGTTCTTTAGATGCTGCCGGATGGCAAATCGAGCTCCAGAAATACGGTAAACTGTATCGACCCCACAATTGGAACATTTCAATATATACAATTGAGAACTCTTGCGATGCAGCTCCGATCGGATGGTGCAACATATGTTAGTGACAAACCCAACAGTGGGGGTCACAATGGTTCTCCTGCCCACTGCATTTCCAAACTTATGCAGGAAGAGGAAATCGCTGTGGATACCACGGCGGGAGGCAAAGGTAAGGATATACCACCTTGGTGGAGCTATTCGTCGGGTTGAAACAATCTACAAGCTCTGGAACCGATCGTGCTGCTGACTGGAATTGATGCGGAGCTGGTGGACGACTCGTTCCGGCGGTGATGTTGGTCATGTGTGTGCATATTGCCTTTCCTGGTTTTCGCCAAATAACGATTTCGATTAGTGCCTCGCTAACAGGCATGGAATACTGCAGGAAATGGTCCATCAAATAGACTAGAAGGTATACAATGGTGCGCTGGCGACGGCAGGCTTCGAATTTGTACGGGAATTGGTTCCTTCACAAAGGAGTTATGTTCGTTTCGATTCCCACATGAATGATTCTAGATTCTAGGAAGGTGGACGACATGCTTGGCCACCAGGTTTATTTAGGATTACGTAACTGCGAAGTTTGCCTAGAGTCAACTGACAGCACATGTGATGTTCACAACACGTATTGTCTCAGGAGGGTCGGCCACGACCTCTTCGTTGAGATGGACATCTGTGCTCGGGAGAAAGGGCGCCACTGCTGAAGACCGAATTGATCATGATCACGGGTGGGTCCATTGCATGTCACATTTTGTCTTCGCTGCTGAAGGCGGGGATTGGAACGTTTCATGTAATTATTGTTTGAATACGGTGGCTGCATGCACGGGGTACGCACTGCCTCGCGCCCCCCCCTTGATAATGAAGGGTCTACCCGTTACTAGGTGCAAGCAACAAGACTTGTACGTTTGTGCGCCGTTGTTTGCATGTGTTCATAGCCAAAATCTGCTATGAAGAAAGGGGCATTGTTAGGCACCGCGAACATCAACGGCAATTTGCCCGTGTGAGCGGTTTAGGAGACATGGTTCACCACTCCGATCTCCATCCCGGTTGTAAGCCCAACCTTGACATGAAGCCCTCTAATATGTCGGCCCTCACGTCTTGTTCACTTTGATTCTACACCTTGTTGGTCGATCCGTGCTTGCTCGGGCATCTCGAGTTTGTCAGCAGAATCCGCCAAGCTGACGCAACCGATGTCTCCCGTGCCGTGACAGTACCTTCCGTAACCACCCTACTCGCTCGCCCCGTACTGCTACTGCTGTACCGCTGTGCGTCTCCCAGACCCAGGGAGGAATCTCCATCGTGCGAGGCCTGCATCGAGGTTCGTCGCAAGCGGTTCGGAGAGGTGCGACTGGGGAAACGTTGTTGGGGTTCAAGGGAAGCATGTCCACCGTGTCGTTGTGCCGTATGTAGAGTCTCCGCAGGAGGTCACCCCCCTCCGAATACTATGATAGATAGTGTGCCCCACACGTGTTCTTTTTGACATACTCCACATCGAAAACAGGTACTCACTAGTGCGTGAATAATAGTGTTGTTGATTCATGTCGGAAGGCCTGCGGAATATTCAGTTTAATTGAGTGCAACGGGCTGGTGAATTTGTGCATAACTAATTTGGTGTCGGACTTCAGCGTGCAGACGGGTCCTTTGGCAAGTATCGAAAACGCCAAAACGGATATCCCCGAGAAACGCGCTGCACCGGGGGTGCCACAACATCGAGATCGTCCTGGGTCCAGACACGCAAGGCCGGTCGTGAGCGCTTGGACGTCTGGATCGTTCGTAGAACGAAGCTTCATATAGGTAGTTGAATTGAACGGTGTCATCAGTTTCTCAGTATGATTTCCCCCCCCTCGATCTGCCCCACCAGGTGCGTTTACAGCTTCGCTTCGAGTTCAATGAGTTTGCGGAAACGTGCAGTCACCTGTGGCCAGAAGAGCCACCGGAGCCAGCTGAGATGGTACGTACGCATAGTATCGTTCTTCGTCCAGGTGTTGACGTTCTGTGTACATTGAGGTTGCTAGAAACCGCCATCAACATACAGTTATTCGCCAGCCTACTCTAGCCTAGCCAGTTTTTTTCTTACGCATTCCGATTCCAGATCGCCGGCTGAATTTACCCCGCGGTTACCTCGCCGATGCGTAGGTTCCATTGTGACAAATATGAAAGTGTTTCGTTGAGTTTGACTCCACGTTGTTTCGCCCGCCTGTGCTGTATGCGCAGCCCGGCAATCTTGCTATATGCGCAGCCCGGCAATCTTGTCGGATGTCGCCTCATCTTGAGTGCATCAAACCAACCCAATCAGGTTCACACGACCTGGCCCCTTTCGTCTGCCCTGGTGCAGCAGACCTTCTCCCCAAACCGGGTATACTACAACGCGATGCTCCTCCGACAACTTGCGCAGCCGTACATCGGCTGCATGCAAGAAGCCAGCGCTATTGTTCATTGGGTCCACCCTTGGAAGAGGTGAGGTCGGAGCTGCGAAGAAGCCAGCATGCGGAACAAGTAGATTTGGTTTCTTTCCTCGCCGCGGATCAGGAGGAAATCGGGATTTCTCAGTCGGTGTTTGGCTAACGCGTTCACAGTATCATCGTGTGTCGCTTGAGGCCCAGTCGGATCGACTACTTTGTTTGGGAAGGAAATATAACCACATGGACATAATTCTATCGCCTATTTTAACGGGGTCCTGTCCGGGATACTACTGTCTACCTCTGAAATGCCCAACAGGCGTGGGGGCGGACGCCAACTAGAGGGGGCTTGCAAACACTGCCCCACGTTTGTTGGCACATGACCCTAGCAAGGTCGTTTTAGTTTCCTCCTCAACGCACACAAGTCGACACTAGTGGGGAGGGCGTTGCTTCAACGCATCGATTGCATTTCATTTTCACCGGGTACATATTGTTTTGGGGATCCTGGCGGTCCCGGACGAAAGTTCAACATCAGTGAAGCCATTGCTTCGTCCCTCCCATGAGAACGTTGTGTGTGACCACAGAACCGATAGGACTTGTGCTTGGATACTCTGCGATGAATTCTGTGTACGACGTTCTGTGTACGATGTTTGTTTGTTTCATGTCATGCTTGTACATACGAGTTTCTTGCAAACCCCGTCACCCCCCTACTTGCTGCCATCCCTGCCGTCGCAGTCTCGCCTGGTTCATCGCGCTGGTGGTAATGCTGCTGCACCCTTGCCTTCTGATCGTCGTGATCAACGGAGCTCTTATTCGGATTGCCATCTTAGGGTACCTGTAAGCACGATTGTCACTGTGTGGTTATAACACGTACGCCAGACAACCCAACTGATGCGGGGCTCATGAGATCGAAGTAATTGGAATCGTTGAATCTTGGGTCCAAACTCGACGGGCCGGAGAGAAGGCACGCACCAAGTAATTGCTCTTGGACAACTATGCAAGGCCAACCACAGTTGCCCTCACAACCTTACTGCATCTATCCCATCCCTGCGATACTTGCATTTTCTCATCCCCTGCCCCTCAGGGACCATTTTGCTGCGCAGCGGGAAGATAATGAAGACGACGCGGACGTCGGTGAGATTTCCTACGAAGCCTTACGTCCCCCCTCCCCTTACAACTCCAAACGGGAGTGCGGGACGTGCGGTGTTGCATGGTGTGTCGCTCAAGACAGCAAGAATCATATTATTGAACTTGAGGCCCGAGAGAAAATTGTGGCTTGCTGCACAGCAAAATTAGTACCATGAACGGAAGGCTGGGTTGAAAATCGCCATGCTTCCGTGATCGTGTGCGCAGCATCCGCGTGAAACTCACATGGTACGGGTAGGAATGTTTGAGTTATTTTCGGTTTGAGTTGACTTTGATTATGTTCACGGGGCCTCCCGATTGGGCGCGGGTTTCGAGCAACGTGGTTCCACTCCTGACAAGTGTGAAACGATGTCGACAACTTTATTTTGTCGTTCAGCTGATAACATTCGATTGACACCATGCCGAAACTACATGGTCGGTGCTTGATATCTGAACTAACCCATATCACCCCTGTCATGTTTGTCTTTTGTCCCTCTGACAGAAATGGGACATGCCGCTAAGAGTGCGGCGAAAGCTAAAGCAAAGGAAAACATTTCCAAGAAGTCGCTGCTGCCGCCCATTGACGCACCCGAGGATCGCAAGGTGGGTGGCTTCAGTTTTGATACTGTTGGGGAGAAGCAACCTAGATGCATGTGCACGTGTCAAATCTGGAACGAACCTGGACAATGTTTGTAAGACCTCTAATTGTGCTCAATGAAAAGGGGGTGCGTGTTTTGAACTACAGGCACTCGTGAATTATTTGTTGCGCTTTTCTTCGTGTTGCATCTTATGAAGCTCGAGTTTCCACAATGGAGAGTCTGAAATCCATAAACTTCCCTGGAAAACCCGACGGACCGCCATATTTTGGCGTCAACAGAAAAAGAGAGTCATTGTTCGACGTATAACGGTCGCCGTTCGCTCCCCGCTCGCCCCACCGTCGCCAATGCGATGCGATGGGGTGGTGTCGCTGCAGATGCAGGCGATGTATTTGACGGTTCGAAAGACCAAGAAGCTGCCCGCTGTCGTGGAACAGATCGGAAGACGCACTTTCGCGAAGGCCGGTTTATCCCCTCAGCGACAGGTACCGAAACTAACTCTCCCAGAACAGAAGCTGATGTGAACATTCCGATGGCGTTTTCGATGCATGCTTGCAGACAGAGGATTTGTGAAGCCAACTGTGAAAGTGCTTGTACCCGGCCGTAGCGTAGTTGATTGTCGGGCTGGCGGGTGGGGCAACACAAACGGGAGAGCTCGCTTACGCCATGGGTTCATGCGACGTTTTTGTGATCAAGACACCTTTCAGCTGTACCGGCCTGCATCCGACCGGCAGAAATAGGCTTTTCTCTGACGCGCTCGCTTACGGTATTGGATGTTGTGCAGGTGGAGACGATTGGGAAGGCCCTAACGAAGGTCAGACGGCGGTTTCACCCCCTGAGAGCGACGCAGTGTCTGTCGATGGTGGTGGCTCTCGCGTCCCACATGCTTCTTCAGTTGTGGCTCTACCGTACATCAAGGTAGGTATTTAGTTGTATGCTCGTTCTTTGGTCCCTCCTGCCGTAAACCCCGGAGTACTCAAATTCCACATCAGTACCAAGGGTAAATTGACTTAGAACATGTAAATTTTGCGTTACAGCAGTAGTTCGACAATCTAACCGATGCGCCTGACGTCTCCCTCCCTGCACTTACCTTCCACATTTCCATCACCCTGGCCGCCTGAAAGGTTTCACCTCTACTTTCTGCTAATTTGCGTGGGGTTGTTCGGCTACAATTTCTACAGCTGGCGGGGTCGAGCCTTCATCCTAGCGGTTCAAGCAGCACGGCAATCCCGACAAACGCGCATCGCCCTCACGAGCCCCACCTGCGCAAACAGCACCCACACCGCGAGCGTGGCCGACGTCGATGCTACGCCAACAACGACGTTCGCCACCGCCCCGTTCTCAGAAGCGACGCCTCTTCGGCAAGACGGCAGCTTCTCCTCCGAGGCACCACCGCGTGATCAAGGCGAGAATCAACGCAAATCGACCTTTGGTACGGAGGACATCACACGGGTGTCTTCCTCTGGCGGCACGACGATCAAATCGCTTTCGGACACCCGGTATGGGAGTACTGCTGGTACGATTGCGCCGGAAGACGATTCGGACGCGAGGAGCCATGCTGGCCATGGTAGTGACGAAGAAAATGTCGACCAGTCGACACCGGTAGTTCCTCAGAAACCTCGGCGCTTGCGCCATTCTAGAAGGCAACGAAAATGGAGTATAGGGCACAGCGGTAGCGCTTACGACGATGTCGTACTAGCTGAAGACGACAATAGCGATAGCGGAGAGGTGCCTGGGAAGAGTGAGAAAGCCGGTTGGCGAAGCCGAGTTTCGAAATGGTACCGTGATAAGTAGACATTTTCGATATTGTTTATCGCGAAACAGTTTTAGGACATCACGTATGTAGTCTGGCCTGTGGTGTTTTACGTTGCTTGTCTCAAGCGTACATACATATTCTCAGGCAAGAACGCGGAACATTGTTGACACTAATTTGAAGTATCTCGAACCGGAAGCTGCTGACAACACCGTCTCGTTGCATGCCGAGGCTTGACGAAGAAAGGCACTCGCATGAAATTCCCGAGGGGTACAAGGGGACTTTCCTGGAGTCGTGCCAAGATCGTTCGTGGGCGGACTGTAGCCCGGAAGGGGTAATGCGTTCAAGTTCGTTGTTCCGCCGATCAGGGATCATGTGCTGCGCGCATTGATTGGGACAGCAGGAAAGCAACGTCGAATGACAGCAAGGAATTGGTTTGTGCCGGATCCGGTCCTGGGTGCTTGGTTTGAAACTAGACTGACGCTCACACAGGAAGGTGTGTCCTGCCTACGTGAGGAAAGGTTCAGGTCGTATCGCGAACATTCCGGGTCACCTAAGTTCATTCGTAGCCACATCTACCTTGTCATGAACACAAAAAAGACTTCATAGGACTCGTTGCCCGAGCCGCGTCTGCGGCACATGTTCAGAACCAGATATATGTCTTGAGACTACTACCTTGCTCCTACACGCTACATCAACCGCACACACAGAACGATCTACCCAGGTTTGGGAGTGCGTCCAACTACGTCGTAAATACCCTGTTCAGCTTAACACATTGGCACTCTCTGACCCGGAAGCTACTCCTCTCGCAATTTACGCCCCGACGATATATTCCTGGTGTCAAAATAGACGTTCACCGCCCCCGAACGCCCTGCGGGACCCGGTTTCCCCCGGTCGCCTCTGGCTGGGTCTCCTCTTAGGAGGGGCGTCTGGTTCTCTCTGCATGAACGGGCTCTTGTCGGCTGCTAGTTGATGTCCCTGTTCTGGCCGGGAAGGAGGAGCTAGCCCGTAGCCACTGGGCGGTTTAGAGGGTTTATCCATGGATGAATTCGCTGCCCAATCGGGGACGCTTTCGTTCGCGCCGGCTTCTGTCGCCCAGGCTGGCAAGGGCTCCTCCACCTCTCGCGGCGGTTTCGGCAATTCCTCGCGACGAATCGAAGATGAAACGGTTTCGTTCGCACCGACCACAGACTTGTGGGTGGCACCAGTTCCTTCTCTTCGCATGGTCGTAGCGTCGCTGGCGCCCGCGAACGGGTTCTCGCCTTGGACCCCGTCGGAAGGTGCGGCGTTTAGCTGGGACGGCGGCTGAGGCGGGCCCGAGAACACTCCGCCCGCGAATCTTCTCTTGCCCCCCGATGGTTTAGACTTCGGTATAGCAGCAGGAACAGACTTCAGTTGGCCTTCATCGGCTACTGTGGTATTGACCATCGTTGATCCATCCCTTGAGTCCGTTTTCATGTTTCCCGCAGCAGAGGCACCCCCACTAGAGAAGCCTCCGCCACCTCCCCAAAGCCCCCCAGCAAAGGCTCTCTTCTCCTTTCTAGCCCCCGACCCAGTAGTCGCAGGCAGTGATGATGCGCTTGTGGTGGTGCTGTCAGGGTTTACGAGTGCACTTAGAACATGCTCGCTTGCAGACGGCGGCACTGCAGTGGAAGCAGAGGACGCATTTAACACAGATTCCGTCTTGCCTCGACGGACGGGCGAGTTTTTCCCTCCATGGGCACGCGGAGATGCGCTGGGACTTCGAGACGATCCTCCGAACAAGTCTGATCTCTGCTGCTCTTCCGTCTCTGCCGGACTCACCGGCTTTCCACCACGTCCTTCCATGACCACACCAACCTCAGCATCGCTCGACTGGACCGCTTGATTCCCGGCTACCGAAGTCGGCCCACCACTGCCTCGAGGGGACATCGTTACCGGTGTTCGCCCATCTGCTGGTTTGCCCAGATCACTCCGTTCCTCCATTTCGCTACCCGTACGAGACGCTCGCTTGAAAACACCCGGAATCGACATCGAGACTCCTCGCGTGGAGTTCACCTTTCCACCGGCCCCGGCTTGATCTGCCGGGGAGCCACCTCTTACAGGAGCACCATCCGCATCACTAGCAGAGTTTTTGGCCTTACCGGTACTTCGCCCGGTGGCGTTCCAACTAGTGCCAATCTTTGTGGCCCCGTCCTTGGTTGCGGCCTTTGCGACGGCAAAGGCGTTCGATACTTGCAGCAACGCTTTCGCAGACGGCCGCCTCGCAGACCCCGCTGACGGCGTTGTTCGTGACTGTGCTTCTGCTCCAGCTGAAAGTGACATGGGGGCGCTTGCAGGTGCCGCTGAAGGTGGACTGAACGCGGCCGTTTGAGTCGCGACCTCGGGCGGAGGTGTCGGTGGTCTCGACGACGCAATTTCGAGGCCCGCGCAGTCCAGGAAATATTCGCGAATATCCACGAACCAAGCCCTGGTCCCCAGGATCACCACTTGCTCAGTCGCTGCGTATGCCTGCAAGAAGCAAACAAACAATCTGTGCTGAAAAAGAACATCCGATTTTTCCTTCGTGTACCACAGGGTAAAACCTCTTGCATGGGGGATTTTCCGCGATAAGCGACAAAAAAACGACTCGTATCCCTGAACCCACGACACCAGGCCTTGGAACACGGCAACGCGCTTGCTCAATGAAATCCAGGGAGGGCGTAGAGCTTGCCTCGGCAGCACAAAAACAACACCTGCTGTACCTCATCGAGTCTTCGCCTCGTTCCGACGAGCTCTGCCCGCGTAGACTCCGTGGGGGCGGACGACGACCCCGCAACTGAGGTCTCCATGAAGGGCGATAACTCCAACATAAGCCTGCTCGAGATGGTGCGCCCCACAAGGGACATGTACTCTTCACAAAAACGTTCGATCTTTGGGGCTGTCACGGCACCATCCAGCTGCCCCTCTGATGTCTCACTGCCTTGTGTCCCCCGTCGCAGTTCTTCGACGCCTCGCATCTGGCAAGAGAGGGGGAAGGGGGATGTATACGTCGGTTGAAGAAGGAGAAAGCTCTGCAACAAAGGTGAAAACGAACAAGATCACACGCATTGGATGTATTGCATACCATGGGGTGGCCAGAAGCCCAGGATGATGCAACGGGTCTGGAAAGCACGCCTGTTCGTCAATGGATCCGAATCAGTACTACTCACCTCCTTCATGAAGTCTTCCGTCAATGCCAATAATTCCGCGATGGCCGAGCGGGACCCAGCGCAAGCATTATGCGCGTCTCGTTCGCTGCCAGCGCGGTCACCTACCTGGTGACGACCGTGACAAAAGCGCACGTACCGGAAAAGGGTGTTACTCCATGATTCAGCAACATTCAAGCAAATGTTTCTGCATCAAGCCGCTTCCCGATGACCCCTTCAGCCCATAGAGTAAGGTATTGCGGCGTTATGGAAAAATAGGTCGCCGTTCCAAAAGACGATGCAGTTGCAGCGGAGGCTGATAGTGCGACCACCTGATACGAGCGCTATCCCTCCTAAATAGTCTACTACGATAATCTGCAGCTACAACAAACTCCTGCTTGCCAAGGCCAGTTGCTTAAAAACTGCCTGATACATCTCATGTCAAAAGTTTCACCCGAAGGTGGCGAGGACATTCTTAGATATGCAACCCTCACGTGTGCTTCGTTCAACCTGCTCTGTGTCTGCCCATACTAGTTTTCGCAAATAAGCCTTGCGGATCTCATGGTACGATAAACCATGTGGAAAATGATTGAGATTGTTGTGGAACCCGAAGGTACAAGCTGGTGCTCATCTACTGTTAGCAGCAATTCGCACATGGTGGAACCCGTCATTGAGGAGGTCGTTGATGTAAGACGCTCTGCTCTGTTCGTCGACCACGTAGGCAGCCAAAAAGCGGTTGGTTTTGAGGTAGGTGGCTTCCTCGTAAGCTTCATCTTTCGCGTGCTGTGCAGCGCCTGCAAACAACCAGTCGCAGGAGACGCAAGGTGTGGGTGACAGACGCGAGTAGTGCATGAGACTCCCGCAGGTCATTGAAACGAACATGTGAAGCCCTCAGAAGTAATGGAATTTGAAAAACTCGGGGCAAATCGCCACGATTTCCATGCTTCCATGCTTCCATGCTTGCTTGTGGTGCTGTGGAAAATCTGTGCAATAAACGGAAATGATTTGCACCGCATATACAACACTGACTGGCGAAAGCTTCCATGCATCGGGCTGTTGATAGACGTGTGGACACAGCACGAGTAGACCAGGGCAGCACAATATTCACTCCCACTCGAACTGGCAATACCATGAAACAGAGTTGACTTTTTTCGCGTCTGTGCCAAAACGACCCGGAGTACTGTACGTACTGAGGGCGTGTCTTAAATCCCCCTTTCCAAAACGGGGAGCAGGGAACAGGGAACTCGGAATTTTTGTCTGATTGGCCAACCACACCAAAAACCGTTCGTGGAAACACAACATAACTCACAGGTTGCTCCTTTTGGGTATTGTGCTACTATAGTCAACAGCTTCCTTGAAAACCTTCACCACTCCCCCTTCCTGTACCCCCCGCTCGTCTGTCTTCCTCCAATGGCTGCATTTGTTGCTCTCTAGTACCTGCGGGCCGCGCGCACGCGAAATGTCCCGTGTTCCATGCCTGATTGCTGCTGCATGTGGTATGGTTAAGACACACAGACAAGGAACAGGAAACAGGGAATTCCGAGCTCTCCGTTCCGTGTTCCCTGTTATGTCTAGGGCTAAGACACGCCCTAAACTACATTCGCGCCAGGGACATGCCGAGTCTAACCTATTGAACAGCACCAGAGCGTGCGCCGCAGCAACAAAAATGGTGGCAGTGGATTTGATGCAAATGTGAAACTTATTGCGTGGCACCCGGAAGCAGGTGTTTCGACATTTACGGTTGCTGAGATATCACACCCCGTGGACCGATTTTCGAAGCTGAACTTCTCGGCAAGGGAACCAGTGACGGCGCCGAAAATGGCGGCCTTGGAACCGTTCCGTCGAGAGCTTTCCCCAAACATATCGTTTGATTTCGGCATTCTCTTCGTCGTGGAGTAATCGAGCTTTGAGAATCGGTCCTGGGGGTGTGATATCTTTCGCAACCTACAAGTCCCATCTCACCCAAACTCACGGCAAATTCGTGTGGGTTGTCACAATATGCACATTTCGTGCGTGCGCGTACCGGAGGAAAACACTCACCGCCATACGCAAATACAGAGCCGATGGCCCTTATCTGGGACCCGGCTTCATCGAGCGTCGCCCGCAGGAGGTCTACCCATGCCTGTTTCATCGCGGAATTGCTGGAGCGAAGTTGAAGGGTCTTCGAGCCATCCCAGGGAAAATCTAGCTTGAACCTCTTGTCGCCTGGACAGAAGAAGCAAGGATACGCGAATAGCACGGTGCCAGCGTCATTTTCCAGCGTATGCTTACGCTATCATGCTTTCCCCAGAGGTTTCACATAGTCATGAAAGTTGTTGGGTGCGGCGCTACTCGTACGGCACAACGGCCGTGTGTGCGGAATGTTTGCCACAATGTTTGCCACAGTGTTTGCCACACACCAGGGCAAACAACGAACAACTTGCAGCCTGCGGAAGCAAACCTCTGCGCTGAGATGGCGGGGTCTGGTCTACCAACCAAATAGCAGCGACATAGCACCAAAGAACAACCCTAGAGTGTGTCCAAATATCACGGAGGTAACAAGAACACCCTCTTCGACAAAATAGCATACTCTGTGCAAGTGTTGGGTTGCGAGCTAAGTGGTGTCGTGGCATTCTGCGCTCTCTACAGCAGTGCGTTTGTGACTGGCTCTTTTCGCAAGAGCTGGAAGCAGGAACACCATGACAGCGGGAGGTGCATGCATTCGTTCCCACAAGATTATGCCATCAAACTTTTAAAGTCGCACAATCGTTCTTGCAAAAGCCAACACTGACACCCAGCCTTCTTACCTTGGTCCGTGAGTACGGCGACCTGGTTGTCTAGAAAAAGACATTCCGTGCGGGTCGGGTCTTGCTTCGCTGCAACACTGACCGCGTCTGGCCAGGCGCTCAAATAACCTCTCTCCAGGCGGTATACCCGAGACTGCCACGCGCCCACGCGGGTGCGCTTCTCGAGCCCTGACTGCAGGCTGCGGTCCATGTAGTACTTCAACGTGGAGACAGCGATTTAGAACACGACCCGGACAAGCCAACAGCAGCCGCCGACCAGCGACGAACCTGCAACTGACGTCCTGCCTTCCCCGCCCCCGCCCCCTTCAATATATATTTTTTTGTTTTGTGCGCGCGTGTTTCGGGACTCGGCACGTACCCCGGAAAGTGCGGCCCAACTGTCAAACCGAACCCTGCGAGTGCAGGAGGGCAGTTAGGAATTTTGGTTCAGGTCAGAGCAAGAGCTCAGCAAACACGTGTACCATACCGCCTACACGTAACCATGCCGCCACCACCGATCCCTGAGCGGAAGGAAGCGGTGAACCCGCCGCCGATCCCTGAGAAGAAGGAAGCGGTTAACCCACCACCGATCCCTGAGCCGAAGGAAGCGGTGAACCCACCGCCGATCCCTGCGCCGACGGAAGCGGCGAACCCACCGCCGATCCCTGTCCGTAGCGGTCCTCGTCCGCCCCCTGGAGCAGTGGCCACAGCGATGTTATCAGGAGGGGAGGGGTTACCGTTTGCAGGCAAAACACAGCACGAGCAACAAGAGGAGGAGGTTCAAGCACGCCCGAACAATCCGTACGAACTAATGGTGCAACCTGGTGCAACGGTGACAGCATCGTACCCATTCCGTGGAGAAGAGAGCCTGCAACAGTTGTCTTTCGCGGTGAGTGCTGTTCACCTCTGGAGCTACATACAGCAGCCGCTGTTCAATTCCCGCAAACACCGGTCCGTGGAACCTCGCCTTGCGATGATCGGAATAGTCCCCCCGTATCAACCCAGTTTCCAGCAGGTTCCTTTCCCGACTCACAGCAAAGACTTCCTTCAACATACCCGTTCGACTGGGGTATTTTGCTTGTGAATTTTTCTTATCCGGAGAATAATTTTTTTTGGCAGCAGAGAGGCACCACGTGCACGCCCCCGTCGCCGAGCAGGCTCAAACGGTCAACTACTGGTATGGACAGAGCCCTAAGTACCTCGAGTTATGCATATTACAAACACGAATGCAAATTGGCGTATAAGACTATGTTGAAGAGGTGAATGGTCTCACCAGCTCACCTGCTGTCTGGCCTGTCATCGATTCCTGCGGGAGAAAAAGGGAAGATAGACTAATCGATCGCGACAGAACAAGGGTAGACTGTCTGTAGCTGTTCGGGACGACAGGGTACAACAGTTCAAATGTAGCACCACTACGCGTGGAATTTTCATTATTTGTCTTGAAATTGAGAGGAACCACACACTGTGTGGACGTACGTGTGGACGTACACTTCGTGGTATGTCGGCGCGAAGAGAATTCCCAACCGCTGCTCTGTGCGCCAACTGGGGCGTTTTTTCCCGCAGAACACGTCCCAAAGAGCCTTGCGAATGGCGCGTGTGATCGCTTAGTGCACTTTCAGTCGTTTTCGAAGTCATTTGAAATCAACATCGATCTTCATCACCCCCTTAAAATCTTGTTTCTATACCTGGACGTCATGAAGCAGCTACAGTATGTGCGTGCTGGCACGAGCAGATCTTCCTTTGAGACATTGCGATGGGAGAGTGATTCCGTGGTTCAAACCATTCACCTTCCATTGCTGTCAGCATCACTGACCCAGACCTACAGCATTGCAAGACAGCATAGCAGTTCATTCCAAAGGGCTGCCTTGGACGACCAGCTTGCAGGAGATTGGGGCTCGCTCGTGGTGGCGAGGACAGCAACGACGCCTGGTTTGAATCTAAGTGAATTTCCGGCGTTTCGGGGCCCAGTGGCAGCCTTCGAAAGCACAGCCAGCTGCAGACATAAGCCTGCCATCGTGCGCGTCACCTCTTTGACATACCTTCTACCGTTGTAATGCCATGATAGTTGTTTCGCAAAGAAACTATGATAGCTTGTACCGAAATGCCGTCGTTTCAGATGCTGGCGTCACCTTATGCATAGCACCGTTGACTCGACAATCCTCCCGGTTGCTCTTCGTGCCACAGGTGGGAGATGAGATCCGCGTCAAACAAAAAGAAGATATGTGGAGTTGGGGCGTCTTAGTACGAGGGGGCAACGAAGGGTGGTGAGTACGAATGTTTCAATAGGTATTTTGTTGTTCTTTGTGTTTTCGATGGTTACCAGTCACCACATCCCCACACGAAGGCCACATGACCCCCGAAAACTGTGGGACCCCAAGGAACCTTGACAGAAATAAATAGAAACCCTTGTAAGGTTTGCTTGTATCATATCCTCATGGCAGTGCACGCAACCGTTTTGTAAGGTCAACTATCGGTGTGGGCACACACCGTGGTGATGATAGATGTCCAAAGACGCGTCGCATTGACGCAGTACTCGATTCGGCAATCTTGGTCTGTTGTGATGGAAGGTCAACATGAGCTTTTATGGGACGCCAAAATCCCACCCCCGCGGGCTTCATTGCGATCTTTGCCACGGCTAATGAAACCCTCGCTTGTGTGCGACGTTGCACAATGTCGACTATGCTCCTGTAACGTGTTTTTCTTCTTCCTCCCGACCTGTTGAAACAACCAAGGAAAACCTGATCCAGACGCCCATGGACGGTCCTTAGCGTTGGAATTCCGCCGATTGTCTCTTTCACCTGGGGATCTTTGCTGATGCTCCCCTTGGTCAAAACCCGCTTGTTATGTCATTATAGCTCATGATTTAGTCGCCCCGCAATCTCAGCAGCGCGCTTTCTGATACGGGCATGTCCTCTAATCTTACCAAAGGCAAAGTGTTGCACTTAGCGCGTGGTAGCTCCGGTCGCCGTTGCAGCTCTGTAGATGTACTGTAGTGGAGCTAAATTGGCGACGCCCGACCCAACGCTGCACTGCACCAACGGGCTTGAAGCAGGGACTGACGACGCCCTAGGGTGCGAACTCACGGTCCCTTTGCGAAGCAAGCGGCCTCGTGTTTCGAGTTGGGTCTCGCTCGAAATCGCATCGTCTCTCAGAAATCAAGTCCGATCAATTTTGTCTGTGAATTCCCAATGCCCCGGTGGGCGATGATGTCACCTGTGCATGGACGGACGGTCTCACCCCCACAGGTTTCCTCATAACTACGTGGGTACCACGTTCAAGCCGCTACCAGGGATACACGAGATGGCTGCGAAGTTGAAAGCGCGAAACGAAAAGGCGGCGGCTGCGAAGGCTCGAGAAGACGAACCAAATCCCCAGTCAGAAAACGCGGGTATGTTGCAATGTACACTTTTTTCTGCTATGTTCTTTGTTGGGGGGTTGTGGTCCAAGTGGTTTGGGTACGCCAGTCAATAAAACCGATACATCTTGGCCACCGCGGCATGGTGATGCGCGATGTTCCAGCGTCGCGGGGACTCTCCAACGCGGCCTGTTTGATTTGATTTTGACGCCAGGATTCCTTGGCGTCCCTATGGCGGACGTTTTTTGGTCGTACCCATCAGGGCTGGACAACAGGCGACGTACACTCAATACCACTACAACTAGCTGGTGAACCACCCGACCCCTTTCTGCCTGGCCTCCTTGTGCGCAGATCCTACGGCGTCATCTCTAGACGCCACCGCAGACCACACAGCAGACGCCACACCAGACGCCACCGCCTCATCTCAAGACGCCACATCGGATGTCAAGTCAGCGCCTGGGGGTGATATCGTAGCTGACGGCGCGACGTCAAACGAGACACACCCAATTCCAAACGAACATCTTCCGGACACTAGCACCGGCACCGGCACCGGCACAGCAGCAGTGTCTGAGGATGTCGTACCAGGTCCTGTGGATGGTGTTGCACGCGAAGACGAGGAAGTTGGTGGAGGCGTAGGCAACGACGTCGAGCTCAAGACAACGCCGAAGACCGAGAATGCAGACAAACCTGCATTGGTCAGCGCCACTCCGTCGCTGCCGCCTTTTCTCAAGGGTCCCACGAACACGACCGGTGCGGCGACGGCAGTTTTGCCGACATCAGGAGCCGTTCGTGAAGCCGACAGCGCAGAAGTTGTCGACACAACTCAAGTGCATGGAGTAGGTTTTGCAGGAGAGTCGCCTGCGACACGTACGGGGTGTAAGTGCACCGTCATGTGAACACGATTAATGTTGGGGGTGCTGCGCTTAATTCTGGATTAATGGTTTCAAGTACTTCTGTTTCGCCCGTGCTCACGGCGGGGGTAGGGGCCAGATGATGACCCCCTTTAGTCACTTAAGAGTTTCTTCCAGAACGTGCCCGAGGTTCACGTACGGTCGCCACCGATTTAGTGATATCCCTGTTGGGGAAGCTCTACAGCGTTCAGGGCTATTTGTTTTTCTGGGCCCGGATGATTGGACATCTTAGGGTGGTGTCCTGCCTTTCATGAGGCGGCGAGTTTCGTGGATTAATGTTACACCTGCTTTTCGGGAGTATGAAAACGGCAGTCACACAGGCCACGGTCCACCAAATAGGATATGTGTTCGTTTCGCGGTTCTTAACCCAAGCGTAATGAGGAAGGCGGCAACGTGGCGTCGTACGTGCCGTGAGATTGCTCTTGGTTTATTGGTTTGGCATACAGGGGGGAGGCGTCCAGGGTACAACTTGAATACTGTGTTTTCTGTGCTCCTCACGTTTGATCCTGTACGACACCTCTGCCTCTTGTGTTTGTTTTGTCGTCGTTCCACCCTCCTGCTGCCTGGGGCCGGCGTCCAAGGAACAGCTTGCATACTGCGTTTTCTGTGCTCCTCACGTTTGCTCTTGAATGGCGCCTCCGCCTCTTGTACTATTTTTGTCATCGTTCCATGCTCCTGCTGCCTACTCACTTGTTGCTTCGTTGATCATGATGAAACGCGGCTTCGTTGTTCCTCATCACCCGGCAGTGTATGCCTGTGTGTACCCAAGTCGTTCATAAGCGACGGCAGGGTTAGTGCGTCATCGACTGTAAAGCTGCTGAGGAAGTGCGGGTGAAACTCTCAGGCAAGTGTGTGCGCAATCGTCTTGAGATCGTTTTTTCTGGCGTGGTGCGTATTGTTTGCGGGCTGTAATTGTGCGGTAGTGTTGACATGCGTGCTCCAATGTGGAAGCGGAAGTAGTTCGAATGTTCAACTATTGTAACGCTAGCATCTCTCTTGCGGTTAAACCGATTACTGCGACGCTGGTTAAGACCACAGGCATCATCAATCCCGCACAAAGCTGCCGCCCTAGTGCTTGCAATGGGAAAAAATCGGAACCATTCGAAGCTCTACGCAGGTGTCAAGAGGCAGTCGTGTATGCCTCGCAGCAATTCCACGCTGGTGTCCACGCAGCAACTTTTTGTGGTTGCCCCTGACCTCCGATTCTACGTTTTGTCGACCATAGTCCAATACTGCCACGCAGGGCCCGAGCAACTCCCGCTTTGGAAAAAAAGCTTTCACAAGGAATCGGCTTCACACTTGAAGAATTTCGGGGCGTGGTTGGTCAAAGGGAACCACAATTCAACCCTGGCCTCAGCTGTTTCAACCCAAGTCTCAACCCTTTTCTGCAGGTCGAAAGTGGAAATACATGATGTGGTGATGCACTGAATGGGTATTACATCGCCGTGTCTTCCAGGAACCCGCACCAAGACAACGTCAGCTCGAGTAGTTGTTCCAAAGGGCAATTTTTTCACGTGTACGAAAACCATGCAGAACAACCGAACGCGCTCTCCCTCCCGCTCTCGTCCTAAATATGGTCGCCAGAGATAAAGCCGGGTACCTCAAGTGGCCCCTTTAAGGTTGGCCGGAATGTGGATCCGTAGCCCCCGACCAAACGTGTAGGAGAACGGTGGGCATCGATGAGGTACAGGAACACAAAGACATCACCCTCGGCAACCCCCGAATTCACTAAACCCCATTGCGTTCAGGACAGCGGTGTCAACTTCGTCGTGCGCTTCACCGCCGCCAGCAGGCACGTCAATGGTATTGTCAACGGAGCAGCTGCTGCTGGTCCTTACGAATCGTGCATCTCTTTCCGACTGTTCGCTTTTCGCCCCAGGCCCACCACCCACGTCAGGCTGTGCGCCCCAATCTGCATTGTCGGCCACGTGATTTTCAGGCGAAACCCCTTCCTGCTGCTGCTGCTGCTGCCGCTGCTGTTGCTGGGAAATATTCGTCGCTGTCGCACGACAGCGTCCCTTCGCCTTCCCCTTCCATCGTCCCCGTTTCCCACCGCACGCGTATTTATGCCCTTCTTTCGATGTACCAGCAGGCCGCAATTCCACGGGGGAGTGGTCACATTCGGCGGGCGTGGGTATCGCGTGATGCATTGCACCAGCTGCCCCGGCCTTCGCGTCCGCACTTGCGATACCACCACTTTCACCATCAGCGATAACACCAGCATCCATATCAAGCAAATTTCGTCCACCAACAGGACACGCTTGCATCATTACGCGCTCCAGAACAGACCGGGCTTCGCGAGCAGACTTCGGGCCGTCGGAACAACACGACGTCACGAGGGAGGGTGGTTTGGTGGGCAGGGCAGAGTGAGCGGACGAGGGGTACAGTTGACGAGGTCGGACGGGGGAAAAAAACAACTGCTGTAGGGCAGTCATTGAATGACGTACGTCTCGCCTCCGACAAACCCCAAACGATTACTCTATTCGACTTCTGTTAGCCCTTGGCAAAGACGTGTTTCACCAGACATGGGGGCCAAAACGGCCCGACCTTGTGAGCATGTGAACGGCCGTTCCAAGACATTTTCTGCAGCGCACCAAACATGGAACGTTTGGTAACGACAGAGGGACTGCGGGAATTAAGCCCAAATCCCCGAATGTTGCTCACGTGTAGGTCAAGGTGATCCTTGAGAGGTACGGCGGGATGACACATGAAGCGTACCCCGGACTCTTCGATCGGAGCCAGGTTTGTTGAACTGAAACGGCCGAGACACAACAGCGACGACCAGGGCGAAGGGAAAAGGGGTATGTAATACTTAAGAGCCTCACGGTTTCCTGCCGTGGTGAAGCAGAGCACTATACGACACCATACCAATGGAGCACCCGTGTACATTTTTCTTCTGCGTGCTCCACCGGTGCGGTCAAGGCACCGCCTGCTTCCGTACACGGGTGCTCCAATGGCACGGTCAAAGCACCGCCTACGAAATTGAATCCGGTCCTTGTCGGTTGGTGCTGGTCGTGACCAACACAAAACAACCTGAGAAAGGCTGGCGTGAATTTTAATCGCCTCTACCACAGCGACGGGTGCCAGCCATATCATCATCACCAACTATCTCAGGCAGACCTCTCAAGCCCTGTGTTCCTGCCATGCTGCTGTGTATAGCACAAAAAAAACTATTCATGTAACTCCAAAAGAAAAAATGCGGTGGAGCGCGCACCGCGAGTGCAGAAGAAGAGGGTGCGTGAGTAGGACATCGCCGGCATCACCGTTCGTCTCGACAACATCGTCATCGGCCGCAGGAAGGAGTGCCTCGCGAGCGGCGCTGGATAGCTCTGGGCCTGTGCACGTGCCCGTACAAAAATAACCACAGGAATTTGCACCGTCGACGGAAAGTTGTTGTTTTCTGGAATCCATGACATGGTTTTTGGGTTTTCTGGGATGGGCACACTACTGCCAGAAGTGAAAGTATTGCGCTTATCTTGTTCAGCGGGCGGAAACGCAACTCTGTCAAACGAAAGATGCATACAAGCACGTCCCCGCAAGCTGAAGGGCGGCATGATAACTCCCTCACCCGCACACCACCACAGCTCCTCAATGCCCAGTGCGGAGTCCAACGTATGCAGATCGCGATAGCAGTTCGATCGTCCTTGAGAGAACTCAAACATGAATTCAGAAGATTGATGACAGAGGATGCACGAGGCCTCACGGTTGGACCCAGGCTACTCGTGAGTGTAGTATTAGACACGAAGTTTCGTAAAATTAGAGCGAACGCACCCGGATGCTCGTCGATCACAAGAGTAACCTTTCGCACAGAGCGTGCTTGAAGGATCCGGTACTGCGCAGCTACGGGCACTCGCCAAGTCGCCCTCATTGGACATGAACAAGCACCGCAATAATGTACCACAAGCTGCGTGCTCAGGGTACTGTAGCTTTCGGGGACGTTCGACGGGATCACCGAAACCAAGGGGTCGTGGCAACAACATCGTGAGGCCAGTTGTTATGGAAAGGATTCCAACTGGAAATCCCGATATCACGCCTTCTACATCAAACCCCCCATGAGGCCGCAGGAGTTATGCGTACTTCGTTGGAAAAGCTCACAAAAGCGCTTTGGCACTCAGTACTCGCCTCACAGAGACCCGTTTGCATTCAAACCTTCGAGGCCGCGTAGAGCATTGCTGTGAGCCTCTTCGAGCCAAGTTTGGGGAGCTGCGGTGCCGTGTGTGTTCACCATGCTTGGTAAAATAGGAATTCCAATTTGGAATTGCTGGACGATCGTGGTGGGAATTCCTCATGAATTCCCAACTGGAATTGGTTGGAATTCAAAATTGGGAATCGTGAATTTGCTTTCATATCATTGCATACTCTACGCACACTGCACTATAGCTGCCCAAACTTGGCTCCGAGAAGCTCACAGTAGTGCAGTGTACAGCCTTATCGGTTAGATGGCAAACAGGGGTCTGTGAGGCGAGGACGAACTGACAAAGCGCTTTGGTGCTCTCTGCTTGCTGCCTAGTACGCAGACCTCCTACTTTTAGGGGGTGGTGGAGCATTATCTGCCGATCCCCCGGATTCCCATCTGGGGAAAATTTCCATAACAACTGGCCTGACGACAAACAGCAGTACCTGTTAATCCCGTCGTCCCTGCACGATCCCACAGTATCTTCGCCACCTTCTTGTGAGACCCTCGAAGAACAGCCGTGCCGCCACCGTGTTTACGCACGTCCGAGAACAGGAATATCGGGAGAATTCCGATTTCGCGGCTATTGGTGGCAGAGTGGTGATGGGGACATATGGTGGCAGGGCACAAAACGGCCAGAATGAGTGGAGCGAAAATTCACCTACAAGTAGGTGCCAGGGCCAAGATGACAAGCAACAGATATCGAAATAAACGATCGATGAAATTCACGGAAAATTGCGCCCGCCCTTACGTGGCCCACACCGGTCGACGGGAACAAAACTTCAAGTGCAAATCAGATAGGAAAAAGCTAGTACGCCTGACACCGAAATAACCAACGGCGGTGTTCCACGCGAACATCATAACTGATGGTAGCTATCAACCTCTTGGCCCACAACGAGAACCGTTGCAGGAAAACATTGGCGCTTTAAGTACCGGTCCTACCTGTGCGGATAGTGCCTGAAATGCGCGCCATCGATGTGCCACTTCCCCTCAGCTCCCCACGGAGGCTGCGCAAATCCTGGAAACGTGACCATCCACCATCCGCATCCAAACTCCTCCCAGCTGTCGACTCCCGCCAACTGGTTGACAGCAGACTTGAGTTTGGGAGACAAAGCTCCCTTCCAGGGGTGGCCACGCCTCTTTTTGGGTGAGCTGAGCGGAACAGAAGGAGGGTCGTGGGGGAGGGGGAAGCGCAGCATCCCCCAAGGCATGATTTCGGCCGGATCACTGCTGGCAACGCCTCACGTGTGTGTTTCAGGCTAACTAGCACTCAATTGCTGTTCAGTTATTTTATTGTCTTGCTGTAGCTGGAGATCGGCCAGCAGCGTGCTTGTAGAGCACGTCAGGCGCAAGTCCTAGTGAGTAAAGAGTCGACTCACCTTGAAATACCGTATATCTCAGGGATGCCTATTTTCCTGACCCATGTTGCTGGCTCCTCACGGCGGATACCATCACCTTTGAGACGCTTCCACAGGGATTCCCTGATCATTGATTCATCGGCAGACGGTTAGGAAGCGCGGAGTCATCGGTGCACTAACCCTGTCTGGTCGTCTCCCTCAATAATTCTGTGCATAACCCATGATCGATTTGTGGATCCGTATGTACCAGATACCATACCACCACACTGGCGCGCTTGCATTTCAAGGTTTAGCCCCACAATGACCTGATCTCCTGATGAAAGGGCGACTTCGTGCAATGCCTTGTGTGCACACGTGCTCCCACATAGACACCACTATTTCCCCGAGCCACGAGTGCACCTCGTCGATTGCTCCGGACATTGACCACCCCATAACACTCCGCCCGTTTGGGAAGTACGACGGACAGATTTATTTGAGTTACGAACATCGTTCTTGTTGACATTTTCCTTCCTTGCCTGCACGCAGCTGCCACATCCGGATCGAAGGCTCGCTTGAGCATGACGAAACCGTTCTCTTCGAAACTGCGGATATCCTCGGGTGAGAGGGGTACCTCGGACGACCCAGCACCATGACTGTCCTGACTCTGCGGTGGTCCTATCGACAGATCGATATCTTCTCCTGTACGGTTCGCATCCACAGCACCGATCATGCTTTGAACGCATTTTCCCGTCTCCCTGCCACTCGTGCTGCCATCCTTCTTATGTGGCACAGGCGGGATCTGCGAAATTTTGTCCGGGCGAACGAGTATTTGGCTGAAATAGACTACTCCGAGGAAATAACATCGCTTGCAGTTCAAGCGGCCTAGTGTGAAAAAAACAAATACGCTCCTTGATCGCGGGCTTGTCTGGGTAACATGTCGAGGACCATGATTTTTTTTGTTTTTTTGTTTTTTTGTTCTTCACTTCAAATCAGCGCTCACAGCACTAGTGCCGTTTATTCGTTTATTCCAACCCGTGGTCACACAGAAGAGCCTCTCTCTACCCTCCCCTCCTGCGGTACTTCGCCTTCAATTTTTAATGCGAGAAGAGTTCAGCACTCTCTTCCCTCTGTGTACACACAAACTAGCGCTATCCACTTGGCCAGGAGCGGAAGCGAGAGAAAAACTCACTTTGCAAGAAAAGCTCGCCTACGCCGGGATTCGAACCCCTGACCTGACCTCTAGAAGATTACGAGGCTACCAACTAGACCACCAGGGCGACCGGCTCGATAACAAGAAACAGATGGGCCAACGCACGCCCAAAATACTAAATATCAGCCATCCACCGCAGGTCTCCCACGCCGCACGCCCCTCTCTCTGTGTGTTTTGTTATTGGGCGGAGATGGCTTTCCAGTACCAGTACTGCCAATCCTTACACGAAAACAGAGCAATTGACGGATACACTACGCTTGGAAATATACCTGCTGGAGCGCGTGAACATACAAAGGAGACAGCGCAGAACGGAGTCATGTGATTTTAAGTAACGGTATGGTCTCGGTGCCACTATTGTGCTTGCGAGGTATGTCATGCACAGTTGGAGTGAAGAGGGTCACCATACCTACCACCTGTATTGTGCCATACAGGCGAGGTTGTGCATGATGGGGAAAAGTACACTCCAGGGCAAATCGATGCTGGTGGCATTGGCATCAAAATTGATTGAATGCGATGACAAGTGATGGCAAGCTCAGATATTTCCTCGGCATTTAGTCAACATGGGCAATTATGGTGGAACTTGCGATGCCCAGAAATAGTGATATCCATGACAATCCCTGCTATTCATGTACTCTTAGTACTGATGAGAATGCCTATCAAGTAGTAGGACCGGACCGGAACAAAGAAAAAAATTCATGAAGTTTGATTAAGAGGGGTAGAGCAGGGTAAATACCCGTCCTCCCACCGATCATGTGTCGATTAATGCAGGACATCACGTACGACAGACACAGCTGATTGGGCAACTGGGCGATGATCACACCGCCGAGGGGGAATCCCCCGAATGTCTTCTGAAAGACGCAGCACAGCAGCAGCACACTCAGAAAAAACAGAGACAAGCAGCACAGCAGCACACAAGACTGGTGTAGGCCACGGGCAGCCAGAGGCACACATCATAGGAGGCGCCGGGTGTTACTCTTAGAGGCCGTAGCCTGCTGTCGGCAGCACAAGCGAGGGAGACGGCACATAGTGATCAATGATCATCAGTTGAGCACGTGATTACAATTGGACAAGACGAACATGGCAGCAGATCGATAGTGCCACGATGGCAGTGCGGACGCCATTTGATCAAGTCCCATCACGTTTGATTAAGCTTGACGCATCAAAATCGCCCTACGTGTGGGTCCGCTGCCAAATAGGTATGCAAACGTAGTAGGCCGGCTTGATCTACAGCTCTACGACTACCACACCCCGGATAACAAGATGGGTATCAGCAGGATATCAATAGGATTCTATTGTAATAGGACGCCCGCTGCTGCCTCTAACATGCATCAATACTAACATGCATCAATAGATAGTCTTCGGACTTATTGTCGCTAGAAAGAGGTTTTGAGTTGTGTGTCACGCCGGATATCGTTTGGCCAAGCGTCTACAGACATTTTTGCTAGGTGGTGTTGCTTACACCAATACCTATCGGTATTATTTGACAGACGGTGTTGTACCGGTGAGAGGTATTACAATGAATCCATCAAAGTTATCCACGGTACACACCAGGCATCATTAGGGATTTACAGAACATATTGCTCAGACGGTACGTGCCGAAATAGGGTGGCAGGAGATATTATATTCTCAAAAGGTGTTGGGACTGTTAGGCAGGACTGTTGCGTTTCTAAATAGGTACCGACGTATCGACAATCATTTCCAGCTGTCAACAATGTTCTCGGAATACAGGCATGGGTAGATTCCAAGTTCTAAAGTAGCGAGGTACGAACTGAATTGGACAGCAAGAACCCGCCCTGGATTTGACTCTTGCCACAGCAGCCACCTCTCGTCGAGTATAGTCTACTCTGTAGTTGTAATATTACATGCAGCAACTGGTTTCAGAGCTGAGCACCAGACAGACAGAGTGGAAAAGGACCGTTTGTTGTGTGCCAGCCGTCGAAGACCTCCTTTAGCCCTGGATAATACCCTATTGGATAGGCTATGAGCCCAGCAGTATGGCCCAAAAATCGAAACACGATACCTGTTGCGGCTGCCTTGTACGTTGGGTCGCAACATATCGATAGGGTGTGAAGGAAGCAACAGGTTTGTGTACCATCGAATCAATAGAACACCGAACCGATAGGAAGAGTGCACAAATCGTTTCGAGACTTACGTTTCCGACAGCATGTTTTTTTTCGCTTTATCGATATGAATTTTCTCCCAAAAGCGTTGTCTCGCCTTTCGCTCTGAAACGTATCGAATACATCAACATGATGACGGCAAGCGATCGGTACCTAGCGGGGGACACAATTAGGTTGAATGCGTAATCGATCAATATGTGTTGGAGGAGCAGTATGCTTAGCACACCATCGATCAGTACCAACTCTGGAGTGTACGAGGGATCGTACATTGTTTTTTTGCTTTTTTTATGGAATCTGCCAGAGTTGGTGGGAACAGCAGTTTGTGTGTTGAAAGTTTTACTTTCATGTTGCAGCAAGATATGAGTACGACCTCGAGATGAACCTGGGGAGTGTCTGGTGTGCTTCGCCTACTGCTGCAAGTCTGGCTCTTGAGGTCGCGCTGAGTGATCCGAAGACCCGTCCAAAAAGCTACCGAACACAAATATTTGAAGGAACTGCTGTGTATCGATTGATTCAAACGCCGTACGACTGAGCGGTACAGTGGTCACGGAGTGGTCATAGAGTTCCACTTGTAATGTTACAGGGCGCCGCACACACGCCAAATCCTTGATTGATGAACGCAATGCATGGCCCCTACAGTAGGTACCGACGGGTTCAGCCCCTCAAGTTAACCGTTGCAACAGGTACCGAAGGGTTCTCCCCTTCATGCTGACTGCTGCAACAGGTATCGATAAGTTTACCCCCTGCATGTTTTGACCGTTGCAATAGGTACGGGTAGGTCCTCCCCTGCATGCGGACCGTTGCAACAGGTATCGATAAGTCCCCCTCCTCCATATTGTCGGTTGTAAAAGGAATTCATATTTTTTTCATCGGCCTATTGAAATATCGAAATATCCAGCAGGTGTTGGTGCACTCCTTGAAACCTATCGCAAAGTTCACTGACTTGCGATATGATATCGTAGCACCTATTGAAATATCCTACATGTGAAGCCGAGACTCTACAGCACCTGTTGAATCGACCATATAAATATCGGCAGGGACTGCAAATACCTGTTGAAATGTCTAGTAGGTGTCGATACGCTGCCGTAATACCTATTGTATGGACCAACAGCCTGCCCAATAGGGTTTTATCGAGGGTGTGATGACTAATACATGTATGCCTACAGCCAACGATAGAGCCAGTTTCTGCGGTGCAAAAAAAAATCAGGTCTATTTTGATCCTGTCCTCTGCTTAGTGTAGTGATCTCCCGCGCTGACAGGGCAATTGCGGAGAGCGAAACGATACTACCAAGTACAAATCCTCGTGCTCATGCCTTCCACTGCTGCGTGAACAAATTCTGCAATAGTCTGGTAACAGCAGTAGACTGAAGCTGCTGTAGACATTATCAGCACAGTTGTCAAGCTTCGCCAATATTCGCGCAAAACAGCAGTGATTTGATATTTCAACCCACCGTTTGGAATTGGCCAACATCATCTGCAGCGTCTGCGTCAGTGGAGATCGTTTCCTCTGCGTGTGGTGATGGAGAGCATTGCCATCCTCCTCCTTCCCTGTCCGCCTGAGTCGTGTCGGGTGTGTGGGTGTGTTCTCGGCTTATTGCATCGAAGCTCCTCTTCTTGGACGGCTGCACGTGGTCATTGTCCATGGCACGCCGGTGGGGATCTTGATCCCCCCCAACAGAAGATGTATCTTGCTTGTGTGCGAATAGGGAGAGAGAGCGATACCCCTTTGCTCGCTACAGCGGTACTGCTAACACACGAGTACACCCAACGAATAAAGAGCTACTCCGACAGAGGTTCTGCCCGCGTGCTGTGGACCAATGACAAGCCCCCAGATGATTACGATTTCTAGTCTTTGTTTCATATAATATTTAAAATGCCCGCGTAGACTACCGCGACAGAGAGGAATCCTTTGCGGCCGCATGTATGTAGCGGTGAGTAGGGCAGATCCACGGAGCCCCCTTCGTTAGTGTACAATGGTTGACAATTTCGAGGTCGGTTTACTGCGTTTAGTTGTTTGTTGGTGGTGCCCTGCTGCCACAGGAGAGAGGACAGGCGTCTGGACAACAGCTGTTCTACGGGCATGGGTCGTAACAAGGAGCTCAACAAGCTCCGGAAGAGGAATAACTTGGACAGAAATGGATCCTCAAGCAAGGGGAGATCAAGTGTAATGGCGGCGACATCCGATACCGCCGGTGCGTGTGCCAAGCAAGAGAACATGTCGTTGAGCGACGTACAGCAGTAGTACATCATATGGTATATCGTGGTGATCACGCGCGCCCCGCTCTCGGTGCTGCTGCTGCTTGCATCGCTCACTCTGCCCTGCCAGCTTGATTTGGGTACTATACTGCTACGTTGCAGCAAGTCTCCTACCGATTGGCGAGGACGGACGTGCTACGTAGGTACTGCAGCAGTACACAGCGGCACACACTGCTTCCTCCTGTTGTTTGGCACAATTCAGTAACGGCCGGCAGGTCGAGGGTTGAGTTGCTCATTTCGTCGCCACCGTCGAGCATAGACTATAACAGAGGCTGCCGCAACATATTGCAGTGTATGTCATTCCCGAATTTCTATTTTCCGCGATAGAGTATGTTGCAAGCATGTTCGTTCATATTCCTTCGCGTACGCAGTATTAGTCAACTGGCTCATCGAAATTTGAAACATTGAGGAGGTGCCAACGGCAGGCAGTATTCTTTGGGAGCAACGCACACGTTCGCTGGCTCGCTGCTGCTGCATTTATTGCTCAATGTGGCATCAACGCGCACTATATTTACTTGCTTCCGCAGGTGTTGTAGTGTAAGTCATCCATATCGAACAGGTAAGCCACTCCTGCTTGTCCACATCGCCTAGAAGGCGTTTCTCTTTCGTCACAGCTGTCAGCCGTGTGGTCAAAGGACACATAATTGTCTACATATGATAGAGTACAGCAGTAGTACCACTCTTCACGGTAGTCGCTGGCTTCAAGGCCAACGCTTCAGGACGAACATATGCGCCCGGTTCCCTCTCTGGACCTCGTATTCCAAGAACTACAACATATCTTGAAGGCATGTGCTCCCGCCATGTTTGGCGGGTGCGCTCCCGCGTGCTTCCCTCGTACCTCCTTTTGTCCGCGGGGTGGGCTTTTTCAACTATGTCGTGCGATGCAGGTGCGAGTAGCGGTGCGGGCACGTGCAGAGAGGCAGCAGCAGTGCGTACCACGGGACATTGGCAACGCCAGCCTCGCAGCACCAAGACTTGCTTTTTGACGCCCCTCGGAACCTTAACCTTAACGTTGGGAGTTGCTTGTTCGATCGTCGAGTTGGCATTGGCTCGAATCACCCATGATCCCATGATCCCATGATCCTCTCATGCCGCGCTCGGGTTGGCAGGGGGCTCGGCTAGAGGCGAGGAGAAAAGGGGCAAGTTTCGCAAGCTGTTTACCTTTATCGCGGCATACCCCTTCGTCGCCATCACGGTGCGTCCGCAACCAACTGTCCTACGTCCGCTGGTCCTATGTCTGCATGCTTCGGCTCTCTAGCGTGCTGTGAGCTCAGCGTGCGATGATACGTGTGATCTGTGTATGGGATGCACGGATTGGCTTGGCAGCTTTGGCCGGATTCCTTGTGTAGCCTGACCTGACCTGGTCGCTGCAAACGTTGAAAAAGGACTATCGCTTTGGTTTCTGTTCTGGTTAGTTTGTGTTTGGATCCATCCTGTTGATGGGGGCTGTGGCTCACATGAGCTTGTTGCAAGGCGGTCTAGGCCCTGGGTCACAAGGTACTGCTACGATGTTACGACTTGTGGCAAGACCGCTACGATGCTACGATTCGTGGCAAGGGTAGAGGGAGGGAGAGCGTCACAAGTGTACAGCAACGACAATGGCGGTGGCTGGTGTTTGGTGTCATTCACGTGCCACAACCACAACCTACAGTGGAGCCTACTACCGACTCCTACAATCATCGTCGGCCTTGTCTACCGTACAGTAGCACAGGGTGCATGCCCTACTGTCACAAGGGCAGGGGCTGGTGTTCGATATTTACGTGTATCGTGAGAACCACTGGTAAGATCGCAAGGGTTTGCTCAAGACTGCACATCAGAAAAACGCCGCCCAAGAAGAAAGACGGCGGGCTCAACCAATGACCGTTCTGTTGTCACCAACGCGTCCATAAATGTGACTACTGTCATACGCGTGCGGCAGCCTGTTCCAAGCACATCCCAAGTACCGTAGGTTGCATAAGACATCACACTCCCTGCGATTTTCGAAGCACGAGAATGGAAAGCAACGACGATGCCAAAAATGGCGTCGTTGGAACGATCTCATCGAGAGATTTCCGAAACGTATTCTTCGTCTTGGGCACCCTCTTTCGTCGTGGAGTAATCGAACGTTGAAAATCGGCCCCTGAGGGTGTGATATCTTACATCATGCAACCTACGGTAGACGTCTCACGTGCGACATCACTCTCCCCACATATATATGTAGACGAGCAGAGCCCTTGTCCGCCTGCTGTCTGTGGCCTCGTGCAGTTGGCCGCCGTGCTACCCAGAGCGGTTCTTCCATCCATGAAGTGGATGCGGCTTAGGAGCGGCCTCATGCGCCCGGTGGTTGAGGTGAGAGGGATATGAAAAGAGGAAATTGATTCCAAGTTTGGTCAAGTGAGAATTGAGCACTCTCACCAGCGCACGATGTGTATCGATGGTGTTCGAGTGGGCAACATTAGGTAGGGCTGGTGCTTTCACTCTGTCAGTTCCTACTCTGAAGCCGTCCAAGGTTTTGACATCCACCGCGGAGAGTAGACCTTGTTTGAGGTCTCATCCTTGTTCACGTTTGCTCCTCCGACTAACTACAGAGTGAGACAGGCGGTGCTCTGGAGAGATGTTGGTTAAATATTCGCGTTGCCTCCTGGTGTTGGCGTGTTGCCTAGTACAGCAGAATCATGGCACTGGATATCGCATGAATCAGCGGTATGCCCTAGGGCCTGTATCGTCGCTAGTACGTACGACGACAATGTAGCAGAGCCTAACATAAGAGGTAGAAAGTATTTAAAATATTGATCGGCTACGGTAAATGATGACGTTCGTGCAAGAAAGGAAAAAATGATGGAGTTGACAAACAAAACCAACCAACATCAACGCCAACATCGACAGGTACACGAGAAAAAACAGGTGTTGATCGTGGGGTCTTTGGGTAGCGGGACCAGCGACATTTCGGCAGCACTTACGCGGCTGGGGTTGGAGGTGGGACACGAAACTTCTGACAGCAAGAATGAGCGCTGCAGAGACGGGACAATATCATGGGCGCATGGCATCCGCTTTTTAAGGTAGCCATGTTTTCTAATGCATGAGCGTCACTTGTTTTGAGCACGATCACTGCCCTTGCTTTGTCCACTGCGTTGTTTGCCACGCCTTCGGCTCATAGCATTCGCTTCAAGCAATATCCCCCTCGTGCGCCTTGAGTCATCGGCTCGATGTGCTTTAGCGTCTCCATTCCGAATGAGATGATGGTTGTACGCGTCTTTTCTTGGTTTCTCCACCCTGCCCTCACGTTGCCCCGTTCAACAGCCGGTGCGGACCAGTGCAGCTATCTGCTGTACGGTAATTTTTCTCCCCTTTGTTGGAGTACAAACTTCCTTGCGTGGGTCAATGAAACCTCTTCCCAGTACACCTCCGAAACATCCGTTTATTTCTAAAACGGACTGCTGTCCGGGGTCTCCGGCGTCAACGACTTTCACACCGCCGTGGCCGTTCAGAACATTTGTTGATGTTTAATTGAACACCGAGCCGAGAGCAACAACGCGGACAAATACATAGCGGGGGGGCACGCCATACTGTAAAACTCGGACAAGATTGGTTCGGCTTAAGGTGGTCCGCTTATTTTGACGGTAAGCACCCCGATACCCCTTGAGCATATGTATTGTCGGACGAAGAAAGAGTGATAGACCTCACCCTCATTAGACCTCATCCTCATTTCGTTTGTCCTAATCCTCATTTGTTGTTTGTTTGAGTTTCAGTCGGATTCGCCGGAAAGCACGTGCCCAAATTGTAGCGCACGGACCAAACTACCTTCAACACATCGTTCTTGTTTTGTTTCGCCTTGTGTGTTTTTGCGGTTTCTATTGTTTTACCGTCGTAGCGTCTTGGCCCCCAACTCTCCCCCAACCATTCGAACACCTGGAACACGAGGAAC